CTATGCGCCAAGGTCACAATCGAAGGAGCACTTCGACTCGACTGTTCCGCTGTTCTTATAGCCGTGTAGCAGAGATGAGGGGAACAAAGGGGTATTAGTAAGGGAAACGTCCAGTTTGCGCTACTTTTTGGAAATTGGCAATCATTATTGCATTTGCAGCTTTGTTAGAAATAGAATGCCGCTATGATTACAGATATGAGACCCTATTCTGACTGGGATCAAGTCTGGACACTCTTTTGGCCTAGTGGTATAATATTTTGATAAGCTTTAAATCTACTACGTGTACTAGATGTACATTTGACTTCTCTTGAATTTTAATCATACGCTTTCCTCTATTACAGGCTACTATTTCAATACATTCAGACTCTGTACCATAACATGGTCCAACCAGCAGACTCCAGAGAGAGGAATCCTTCCCTGAATCATTTATTTCATTACTCCACTTGGCCAGCGCCTTGGTCACACACTGAATTCACTGATAGCGACGCAGAGCGTTACAAGCGCTGGAGTCAGCAGCCCTGGTATAAAGATGACGATCGCTCTGCTGTGCGGCTAGTTAGTTTGGCTAATGATGAAGGCTGGCCCTGGGGCTTCTTTATCTACCACATGCTCTACACCCCTGAGTCTGATCAGGTCTGGTCTGGCTGCCTGGGTCGCGTCGAGTTCTCACCGGTTCAAATAGAAAGCTGGAGAGTCAACGCTGAGGGGATATAATCAGTACTCAGTAGTAGTCAGTTCTCATGACATATGCCATATTTATGTGCATTTCATTCTCAACAAAGTATAAAGAGCTAAGGCTATTCCAGACTCATATCCCCTTACCCAAGCCACGTAAGAAGGCTGCCAAACGTATACAAACTCTTAACCAAGCAGCACATCTGGAAGACTATACATCAGGCACAGACATGCGACCTCAGTCTCATGTTGCGTTGCATGACCCTCACTTAATATCGATACGTTTGCTCACAGAGGATTCAGCCGTTTTCGGGATGGTAATCGAGAGAACACCGTCCTTCAAACTTGCATCGATACCCTCGCGGTCCACATCGTTGGGAAACCGAAACGAACGCCTAAACTCTCCCACCGAACGCTCAGAACACCACCAGGATTGTTCGGGGTTCTCTGATGTTGACTCTCGCTCAGAACGCCCCTTGATGGTGAGGATGTTGTCGTCGCTCAGCTCAATATCAATGTCCTTCTTGTCCACTCCCGGAAGCTCTCCGTCGAGACGGTAGTTGTCTTTCGTCTCGCGGACGTCAAACCGGGGATAGTGACCCAGCATATCATGGCTGCCCGCTGGGCGGTTTAGGAAGGACTCGAGGTCATTAAGAGCTCGAGACAAGGAGGGAAAGCCAGCGCCAGGATTCCTTTGCATCAAAGACATTGTCCTGGTTTGCCATGGCTGGCGAGGCGGGAGAGAGCGGGGAATTGGAGGACGCGTAGCGAAGCGTCTAAGAGGGGAGTTCAAAAGTCTGCGAGCATGCATCTTGATCTGTGGTTTTTGGTGTCTTCTTTGTCATCTGAAGATCGCATATATGTCTTGTATATATAGCTTCATGGAAGCGTACAAACGTCATTATTGTATTTCATCGTCAAAGTTCGAATCATGCCTCTCCGGAAGCCTCTAGAAAGTACATGGCCGCTGTACCGCAGGTAATCGATCTATATGCGTATGATATGATACTTCTGTGGCGTACTGAGATAGCAGAACGTATTGGTTAAGACATCATTGTTCCATGGGTTTCCAGTCGTTAGACGCCACGTGACCATGGACAGCTCAGTATCCCACTGTCTCTATTCCAAGGGCCCAGGGTTATCTTCGCTGGCTATGCATACATCCGGGCAGTCTCAGCATTATTGTTCTTAGGGATTTTGTTCGACCATCGAAGCGCTCTAAGCGGTGGGCTGCGAGCGCGAAACTCAATTTAGCCATATCGGCAAGCCGTAGCTAAAATGGACGATGATCATTCTAGATGTGGCGATTGACAGTTTGACGTCCGTTGATCATGAGACCCTTGATCCACATTTGGATTACTTCTGGCTTTTATTGTTCACTTAGCCATTATCCATCCTGGTGTGTAACATATCGTAATGAACATGATGCAACTTAGATAGGTCGACCCATAGTGGAAATGACTGATTGTTTCAAAGGAATATACTGTTACATCCATCTGTAGGAGCAGTCAAACTTCTCCACACTGTCGTAGAAGGTAGAATGATATTAGTGTGGCAGGGGCCACGGAAAAAGAACCTTGATAACATCTGGCTGATCTTCGCCTTCTAGCAAAGTGAGTATACTTGGACGAACATCTGTCTACGGCTATAAAAGACTAGAGAACCCGAAGTTTTCCACAAATTTCTCTCACATAGTACCTGAGGCGAGGCTATGGACAATCCAAACTGTAAGCTTCAAATAGCTTACAATTGCTTCCTTTGACTAAATGCTGGATGAGAACTGGAATAGAGGATCCCAGCATCAATCCTACATATTTGTTTCGCCTCTGACAGTGCGCAACTAAGGAATCGAATAACCATCAGCTTTTGTCAATCTCAGGTGTCAAAAAGCCTGTGACACTCACCTCGTGCTGCAATAATTCTTCGAGATACTCATCATCCAACGTGCTGCAGTACAGCACTTGAACAGGTCCAAATTCTTTGATAATCCAGCAGAGGGCCAACGGAGGCTCGCGGGCTTGACGGACGCAGAAACAATGTGACGCACATTCGACCAAAGTCAATGGTGGAACACATTTTTGGATCCTCCAACATACGACGGAGGGCCATAGGATTCACACTGCTGTAGTTCTGGGTGCGGAAGCGACCCAGTCGCCGACGTGTGTCAACCGTGGTCAATGTGTCATGGCATCCTTTTGTGGGTGGCAGTACTTGAAGTTGGGAGACGGGAAATTGAAAACGGCCACGGCTGAACGAGGCGACAAATGGTCAGTTTAACCATCAAGGTCAACTCGTTGAAGAGACCGGAAGGACGTACACGACGGTGGTTTACAATCTGTGTTGACCTCTTCGTCAGCTGTGGGCTTATTCGAGAAGATTGGGCAAAGATGATTGAGCCTGTACGACCAACTAAGCAGATTTAGTGCTGCTGCCCGCAAGAGAGAATCAGTCCAGTGTAATCAGTTGACCCAGAAGCTGGAAGGAGGGAACGTTCTCGGACGTACGCCATTAAAGCTGGAGCAACAAGGCGAATAAAGATTCGAAGATATATCCACCATGATAAAGAGAAACCAATGGTGGTTTGTAAACGACCCTGAGGATCGAAATGGTCAGTCTCTGGGGAGGCGACGGCAGTTGGATTGAGAACAGAAGAAAGCAATGCAAGATGGGCTGTTCGTCGAAATGGCAAGCGCATCGGAGGCCTGAGGCCATATGGAAATTGATCGCCTGAGGCACTGAGCACCTGCCTCAAAATCAACATGCTCTTCGAAACTACCTGGTTACTTGGTACCGTTGCAATGAGGTGCGACCGGATTTCCACCTCATTTTCCGTAGAGCATACAAACTGGACAGATCTCCAGGGTTCTGGCCAATGCCTGGTCTACCAGTGTGCAGTACCCTTGAACGGCTGCTTCGATATCGCCTATCATCAACGCATCGTTTTCACTGTACGCAGCAAGGATCCTGCCAGGACTGTACAGATACCGTTTCACTGGTCTGTCCTCTGTCATGAATAGCCAGCCTTGGACTATCTGTGCCATAATTGACAGTTATGACATTGAACCCGTCCACGTGAATATCAAGATCGGTTGGCGCCATCCCTCCCAGCCGAAAATCAACCTCGAAATTGGGACAACTACTTGTGAGTCTCTCCACAGCTTGTGCAATAAGGCCGTTGGCTTCCTCTGGTGTTCCCGATGCAACTCGAACTGAGAAAACTGCCCCTGGCGATGCTGACACCACGTTGGTTGCGACACTATACGTGGCCTTTCGACTCGCTTCAATAGTGAACCAATGCCTCCCTTAGCATTGTATCAATCCGCACTGATCTTTGAGCAAAGTGTCCAGATGTTGTTCGTGATACATGGAGTTCGAGACCCAGGACTAGTTCTCGAGCGCTCGGACACCCATAAAGAGATATTGATTTCCCAGCAGGGCTGAGCTGATTGTGTCTGGTCCATTGGTTATCAGATTACTGTCTCCAATCACCAGCGACAATTTCTCAAAGGTTTACTGGAAGTACAAAGCTGGAATACCATACTTCCATATTGTCGGTATGGCTTTGACAGACAGAAACCATTCCTCAGGCAGTCTCCATCAGCCCAAAGACTCAGGCAACGAGGCACAGACTAAAACAAGAAGATCATCGCACCAGCCAAGAGAACTCCTCGTATAATAAGTTTTGACGGTGACCTGTTTACCTCGACCTAAGATTGACGTGTTCAAAGGAACTCATCCCTTTCTAGCATACCTGCTAGTTTTACCAAATATCACTATCTCCACAAACATTAAACATCCATGGATTTGTCGAACATATATTGCACTATATTAAACTACTATTGCTACTAAGCTAGGAATGGTTGTCTCTGCCTTTTTGGCCTATTGGTAATATGGTCGACAACATGTGCGTTAGGATCTTAGGGTAAAACTTCAATAATCAGTTAGTTAGGGTCCTTTTGTACAACAGGCTGCCGTGAATCAGCGTCTCTCGTTCGCTACTCCTGGCCCACAGTCACAGCCTTGCTGATCATGTACAGCCTCAACGCAAAGCCTCCGAGCTCCAGTCCGCAAATGATATTGGCAGACCTGTCTCATTTGCGCTTCTTCCAAGACCCCAAGCCTCGTATTGTGAGCAGTCATCTTCTGACAAGGCTAACAGCGATCAAAATGCGCCCGATGACCTTGCGGAGAATGAGCGAGAGCGCTGTGGATAGAAATAGTTATATATAGGACTCTCCCTGTCATATAAAAGATGTCCTACCCTCAGCGTTGAGCAAACCGTCATCTAAAACAATCATACCAGGGCACTCTCAATCGAATCCACCATGGAGTCCGAAAAAATCAACTCAAGTACGTCTCGTCTGATCTCCCAATCCACCGACAAATGCTTGCAACTAACATAAGTCACGATATCAGCCCCCGTCCCGGCGTACGAGCAATACCCCAGCCCAGAAACCCACCAGGCAGCGCCTATAGTCCCCCAAAACGCACACATGCAGCCCCAGTCACCCCTCCCCAAAGACCATCCCCAGCAGCAACCGCTCGCGCAGCTCCCAGCGCCGGGATACTACGCAGCAGGGCCAGGGATGGGCCACCCAAGCGGGTACAACACGGCGACGCCGCTGCACGCGCTGCAGCGGGGGCCGACGCCTGTTGACTGTCCTGTCTGCGGGCATCGGGAGATGACGCGCGTGGAGGCGCACTCGGGGAATACCACGCAGTAAGTTACTTCCTAGTCTTTAGGTGGGAAGAGGGAACTGATGTGGGATAGTGGATGGGCGGCGGTGCTGTGCTGCTGTTTCTGTCTCGGGTGTGTACCCTACCTGATGTCGTCGCTGAAGGATGTCAACCATCACTGTGGGAAGTGTGGGGTGATGTTGGCGACGTGGCATAATAGTGGGCGGGTGGATGTGCAGCATGCGGTTAGGAATTAGTTGTTTGTTTGTTTATGATACCACAAATTATAGTTTTCTTCGTTTTATGTTCATTATTCCCTTTTCGAATTCTGAATCAATGCGACAAACAACACCAACACCAGGTATCATTAATGCAAATGCTACTATATACAACTTAAGAAAACCAATGCGGTCAATCAAGCAGCCTCATAAATCGGCCTCTTGATATCGCTCGTCCCATCCATCTCGTGCACCTGGCGACTACTGCTCAGTTCCGCCTCCGCTCCGTTGCCGGGTAACTCGACGAACTTTGAGCCCGCGTACGCCCGCGGATGCGCATGCGGATACGCCTGGGACATCTCCATCTCGGCGAGTTCCTGCTTGTGCGGGACGACGTAGGCTGGTGCCGCGGAGGCCGTGTCGTTCGTCGAGACGAGGCCTAGTGGTGAACCCGGTGGGAATTGCGGTGTCTGCGGGGATGTAGCGCGCGGGTCGGTATCGGGTATCGGCTGGGCTGGCTTGCGGTTGCGTCTTCCGAAGAAGAAGAAGAGGGCGGCTAGGATGGCGACGGCGGCGATGGCGCCGATGACGATTCCGGCGATGGCGCCGCCGGAGACGGAGGAGGAGGATGGCTGTTGGGTCGGGGTGGTTGATGCCGCTGCGGAGGTGGCTGATTGGGATTGTGCTGCTGTGGTCGTTACGGCGGTGGAGGTGGGAGTTGTTGAGGGGGATGATGTGGATGATGTGCTGCTTTTGGAGGTCGTCGAGGGGAAAAAGACGCTGACGGACTCTGGGGGCATGGGGTAGACGTCAAAGGCGGAGAGATTGCGGCTGGCGTCCTTGCGCCAGACCTTGCCGTCACAGGCGAGGCCGGCGATTTCCGTGCATGCGGCGTCCTTGTAGAAGTGCAAGCACCATTGTCCCCCTGGGACCCAGGAAAATGGCTCGCCTTCCTGGTGCCAGATCTGCGTGCAGTTTTCGGCCTTGTTCTCTTCGACGATGGTGGCTCCGGCGGTGGAGTTGCGCCATGTGAGGGTCCATGCGGAGGTCAGTGGCGTGAGGGCGAGAGCACCGATCGCGAGGGAGAATATCCTCGACGAGAGATGTGCCATGGTGATATGAGGTTCGCACAGCATACAGAGCGAGTACGGAGTCAAAACGGTGATTCTCGTCAAGTGGGGAGCGGCATGTTTAAATGCATGGCAGCGTGTGTGGTGGATCGGAGCCGCACGACGCTAGGGGCACGATCTCGTATAAAATGTATGGCAACGGGGATGCTTCCACGAAGAGCCGGGTTTGAAGAGTCGTCGGCAATGCTTACTGGTGCAGACTTCGTGACAGATGATCGGTTACTCCATCAGGGGTTGAAGATCCATGCCTGTGGTGCACTGGTGCAACTTGGGCAGGCAGCGGACTCCAGAATGGCACACACAAATGGGAAACACTTTGGAAGGATAAAGCTGAGGCAAGCCGTGTGCCTGGGCTCCGACTCATTTCCATTCTCAACAAAGCGGATTGTTGATCAATGTCCGTGGACGCGTTCATTGGTGCCTCATGGCCCGAATACGAGGTCATGGACGTAGCGCAGGGTTAGCTTCTTAGCAGTGGATCTGATCTTTCGACTCAGGAAGAAGTCATGACAATACTGCGAGGAAGATGAGGAATGCATGTGGTGTTTAATAACCAGGTCTCAGGGATACTTTCTCATAATGAATGACAGGGTGAGCAAGAAGCCAAGGGATGATGTTCGGGTAGATACAGCAGTAGAGTAACACGATGATGGCATTCATTCTCGTCCTGAAAATGCCAATGCTTGGCGCGCCCTTAGTCCAGCCATGAAGACGAGAAATGGGGCCATTCCGAGGGATGAATGATGATCTTTCTAGGAAATTAATCTGGAATTGCATCTGCATATGAAGATATTTATATCCCACCTCTTGACTCAAATACGAGTTCGTGATTTCTAAGTAACGAAGGCCCATTCCTCCCACTCCATGTTCCTGAACCCTCTACATGTGCATGAGCATAATAAAGGAGTGCTGACGTCAAGAGCTGTAATTCATGCCTCCTAATAATGCCTGTCAGTCAATGATAATGAGCATGATCGAGTGATGACGCAGACGGAAGGGATCGAGGTACATTAGTCTTTGACACATATAACATATTTTTGATCAGAACGGTTGATATTCTCTTAAATGACCTTATTGCTGATATGAATGGAAATCAGCTGGGCCTATCAAAGAAGATATTGCCTGTCTATGAGCTATGGAGAGTGAGTATCTATAGAATGGTTATTTGGGAGATCGACGTGGGGTTGTGGCGGTGCCGGAGCTTGGCGGATAGAGCTCTTGATATAGAACAATAGTGGTCATATCTGTGAATAGTCTGGCTGAGGTTGCAATTGAACGTAGAGAATAGATCCTAAGCTGATATAAGGCAATCATGTCTAACTGTCACCATGATGGATGAACCGCAAGGATATTGTCTTGTTAGATCTTTATCAATTAGCCTTCTGGTCCTTTTCTCATAGACCGAGTAAGGTTGCACTGTTGATATCTCCACGTCATTACCAACCTTGCATCTGTCCACCTTCCGATGCTCCCGATACTCTATCATTTCTCAATCTCTCACCCACTGACTGCCTTTGCTCCCAGGTCACATCTTCATCTGAGGCAGAATCATCCTGACAGTGACCGACAGTCATTGTCCCGTCTTCTCTTCCTCAGCTTCACACCAGCCAATCTGTAAGTCAATTGAACCCACAGGTCAAGAAGAAACTAACAGGACAGGCAATGGCTGCAATCGCACTCCGCGACTCGCGTACCCACCACCTAGCCAAACGGCGCAACTGGGCGAGCAAGAACCCCGGTGTTGTTCTGGTATTCTGCATCGTCTTCCTTGTCGGTCTTGGAATCGTCAGTCTCTTTGCATATCGAAGATGGATGGCACGAAAGGCGAGGAAGGCGTCCTTCGAGGTGGAAGAAACCAAATAGGTTGATTGGGGAAGAGATGGCTTATGGAGGAGTCAATGAATCATTTTTATTGCTTTGATGCTGGATTGGCCATGTCCAGTGTCTCCAACAATACCCTCTCCGATTGTCCTGAGGTGTGACTCTGCTAGACATCTGAGACTATCGAGATAGCAGGAGGCAGCATAATCATAATCACATTCAACTCAGTACAGCTGTCAAACATTGGGATGGACTTGCACCTTCATCCCTCCCATATCACGGTACTCATCCAACGCAGCATTGATCTTATCCGCATCCAACCCCTCAATAACCCGAAACTTACTCGGCCTGATAACCCCCTCCTTCAACCACCCCGTAATCCTCCCCCAAAACAACTTTGTAAAGTCATCCGGATGAGTAGCACACGAACCCCTGATAAACCGCCTCTCATATCCCGCCCGCTTCTCACCAATCTTCGCGCTATCAATCTCCCCAACTGCCGGCGCAAGCGTCACCAATGTCCCCCGCCTCGAGTCCGACAGCACCGCAACCCCCAGCTCCTGCTTCGGTCCGAAATTGAACGCATCAAGAGAATAGACGAGCTCATCGCCCACAATGTCCCGCACCCGCGAGAGGACATCGTCCGCATGCCGATCAACCACATGCGTAGCCCCAATCTCCCTCAGTTCTTCCGCCGTCCGTAGCCCCGCCACTGCAACAATGACCCCAAACCCCAACCACTTGGCAAACTGGATCGCGTACCGGCCGCAGTTCGTCGCCGCGCCGATGACCACTAACTTCTGGGCTGTGTAGTCAAAGTCCACGCCGCTGTCGGGCAGGGGCAAGCCGAATCCATCGTCGGAGAAGAACACGACGAAACCCGTGGCGACGTTGACAGGGATCGTGGCGGCCTCGTCATCCGAGAGACCGGTGTCGGTCACTCGGGCGGCATACTTGATGTCGACCAGGGCGTACTGCTGGAGCCCGTTGAAGTCGTTGAGGACTTGGTTGAGTGGGAGCCGGCTCTGCGCGAAAATGTGCTCGCCGATGGTGAAGTCAACGGTTGTGTCCAGTCCGATGGCGATGATTTCGCCGGCAAGATCGTGCGCGGGGATGTACGGCGTAGCTGTTACAAAGAGCCCGCGATCGCGCGATTTCTGGTCATGGGGGTTTACTGTCAACGGTTAGTATGGGTAGTCCAGTGGGGAGGGAGGCGTACAGCCGACAGAGGTGAGTTTGATGAGGAGCTCGCCCTTGCCCGGTTGCGGGATGGGACGGTCAACCGCGACCAGACGGTGGCCGATTTCCTGGAGAATGAGGGCTTTTTGGGACATGATGCTGGGAAGACTATCTGTTGGAGAGAGAGGTTGTGTCGTTGACTCTGAGGTTGATGTATTTATACCATTCTCCCTCGTATGCGAACAGGAGCTGCAACTATAGTCAGCATTTGATCATTGTCCGCCCACGAACGAATATTCTCCTTCACTTACAGTCAGAAAACCTTGGCAGAAGAGTTGATCAACTCGGATTGATAGGAATATTCGTGTCCTGACTCATTTGGTCGCGGTTCGAGTAATTGACGCGGTCTGACATGGCTGATTCAAGCTTCAACGGCCGCAAGCCCACCGATAAAGTCAGACACAACAGTCCGCCTCGTCGAATATGGTAGGACAACATATTCCCCGAGGCAGTAATTGATGGTCTTAGTAAGATGAGCTGGCCGGAACTGTCATGCATTATTGGCCACCCGAAGTCTATCCTGATCCCACTGACAGCTCCATGACACATTCCTCCCGCACCATGACTACACTTCTTACCTCCACCCGCAGGTCGCACAAGCACAGCACAGTATGGTATAGCTTCATAATCATAATATCAGAATGTCCCTATTATCCCTTCTCGTTCTCAGTCTCACCCTCACCTCAGCTTACTTCTACGTCTGCCATCGTTCCCTAGCTTCCCGCATCCACCCCGTCCTCCATACCGGCACTCTCCCCCAATCCCTCTCTTCCTCTATCCTTTCCATTCCACCATCCGTCTACACGAAACAATACTTTTCCCTTTATAATCATGCCTCGCGCTCCGTTCCGCGCCGACTCCTTCCATCGCACGATCTCCCCGCTCTCTTTGTTCTGCTCCTCCGCCGCAACCTAACTGTCTTCTCGCACTTCCCCAAAGCCTGGAAACAACGATCCACCTGCTCCAGGGAGCTGAGTAGGACCTTCCGTTCTGCGTATATACGATCTTTGGACTTTAACGAAGGCGACATTGTCTGCAAAGTGTACCGCGTACTAGTCCGGAAGCCTGATCGTGTGGAATTCGACGTGGACATGGAAGAGTGTGACGGGCGGTGGGTGCTCCGGTACTGGGAGGAGGGCGAGGACGTGGTCTTTTGCAGTGAGACAGTCAGCTGGCGGCCGACTGAGACAGAGACCCCAATGCCGGGGGAGAATCGCATGCTACGGTTCATCCATGAGACAATGGCGTGGTGGTTGCTGGATTCGGGGGTGCGGTATCTGATGGATCTGGACGGGGAGTTGGGGCCAGAGGACGAAGAGACAGAGGATAAAGAGCTGGTCAAGTAGTCTTTGTGGTTGTCTCATACCTGTGCCAGGTGATTTATGGAGTGTAAAAAGAACAAAGAGTACAAGGGCTTTGTATGTCGCCAAGGTCAGAGTCTGATCGCGACAATAGCCCATTAAAAGTGCTTTGCTTTCTTGCGGTGATGATGTCTTCGATGCATGTCTCACCTGCGTGTATATAAACACATCGAATCGAACCATGCCATCGACATTCCATCTTCATCACCATCGCTTTTCGCAATGTGTCGATATATCTTCCACCACTATACCGGCTGCGGCCACATCTCCAGCTTCGATTTCCATAGCTGCGTCGATGTCATCAATCTGCTGCGCGGATTATCCCAACCAGGCTTGAATTCGCCCGATCTGACATGTACCAACGTCAAGGTCGAACACGACTTGTGCTCCACTAAGATAGAGGCCTACTGTCTGCAGTGCGAAATAGACTGGCAGCGCTTGGCCCAAGGCACTGAAGGAGCCGTTCGCAGCATCCCAGACTACATTCAAATTGAAGGGCTTGATAACTCGGACCCCATCATCACGACCAAGATGCAGTGGCAGTTTACCGAGTCCCGAAAGCGCGATTTCAACGACGCCTTTGTCAATCTTGACCTCGATGGCGACCACAAGTCCGACAGCAGCAATGACAATGACAGCACCGTCCAGCCCAGCACCATTGCCAATACGTCGACCCTCAGTTCCCCCGAGCTATGGCATGATTTTGTTGACGTCCCGCTGAACGCCCATGACCACCACGCTGCAGACGAGGACAAAGAGGATTGCGGTCCCAGTCCTGCCAAGAAACGTAATGACTCCATCTCCGAAGACTACGTGGTGATCGGTACTGACATCCTCACCACCCAGGCAGAACGACTTACTAGCGCAGCCAACGAGGAGGAAGACTCGGACGAGGACGACTTCTACAGCCTGTGGCTGTCCGACTCGGACTCAGACTCGGTGGCTGACGACACAGAAGATACCGCCGGGTCCCTCATGCGCAAGTTGGAAAGGTTCACTTTCTCGACCTACCGATCTACACCTCGAAGCCCTGATCTCCCTTGTTCACCGCGTACCCGTCCCCGTCCCGACCCGCTGCCTCTGTACGTGGGCTTTCCCGGCCAACCGCCTGAAAAGTCGCCTCGGACTCTTCGGCCTTCGTCCAGGGGAAATTACCTCGATGCGAGGACGGAGCTGCAGTCGCCTGTGTTTGAGGGGTTTCCTGGTATTCTTCCGGACGAGGATGAGTTGGGACTGCGGTCGCCTGGTCTTGTGAGTTTTCCGCGTATTGTGATTGAAGATGTTGATGAAGACGAGAAGGGGAGAGAGAAAGGGAAGGTAGAGGTGGGCAAGTCGACTGGTACGGTGTTAGGTCTTCGTGGTGCGAGTTTGGCTTCTGGTTCGGGGTGTGCTGCTGCTGTGTTGAAGGGGTTGAATATTGCCATGTCGAGGAAGTGACCTTGCTAGTTCTTGTTTTGATCTGGTTGCTTTGCTTTTATTGCTTTTGTTTGATTTGCTTCGTTTTGCTCCTTCTGTCTTCACTGTCTGACGCTTTGCATTCATACATTTGCTATACAGAATTACAGAAAGTCTCGACGACAACTCCAGTCATCTCCGCTGTATAGTCGACAACCCGAAACTGATTCCAAAACATGAAGGTTACCAACATAGTGAATCATTGTAACTACTAATTTGACGCCCATCTAATCCACCGTCCCCTGCAGTTCTACATTCTCAACCTCCTTGCTCCTGTTCCCCGTCCACTTGAGACGATAGACAACCCAAGCCAAGTACATCGCGCCACACACCCCAGCAACAACCGCATACACAATCTTCCCCCCATGAGTATTATCCGCAAGCCGAAGCCCTAACCCACCATTGACCATGCCAAGGATGATCAGAATCCTGCCCAGCCAAACATGCACTGGGACTAGAGCCGACGGCGTCTTCTTCCGGATATACCTCCAGTGGTGGATGGCACCCAGGAACGGCTGGATGAGCATGAGCACAACGATGACTGTTCCGAAAACCGTGTGGGCGTTGTTGTGCAGCTATAAAGTTATTCAGCTGAACACATTGGTAGAGATGACGACTTACTCTGTCTAGTATCTTCCCCACACGAAGGCCAGTGGCCAGGCCGCCGAGCATAAGAGCCCATCCTGTGAGTTGGATGCCGGCATGAAGCCAAACTGCGTGTTTGGACTTGGAGAGGCGAAGTACTGTAGCGCCGAGAGGGAAGATGAGGACGAAAGCCACGCTCATCAGGATTCCGTGTGCTTTGGCGTAGGAAGGTACGAGGTAAAGATCTTGATATAGGATGGTGGCTGAAGCTGGTCTGGCGAATATCGCTGCTCGTAGTAATTAGTAGGATGTTGATCAAGGAAACGCAGTACATACCTAGGATTGAGTACAGATATGTCGTACGAGTTATTTTATTATCCATCTTTGTTGATCTTGAGAGAAAAGCAAGGATGATCTACTTGCCATGCATGATGAAGAAGAGCGAGTATCAAAATTTATAGCATTTCTTGTGCTCGTCTGCCTTATGTGTACTATACTATTGTTGATGAACAGACTGTATTGTTGGACAAAGTGCCTATGTTCGAAGCAAATATCCAACCAATCATCGGCCAACAATGTACAAAGACCGAGAAATGCGAGCTGCAGGACACAGCCACACCAAGCAAACAACACCAGTCATCAATACGAGGCCCTTAAAAGCGGGAGGCAGTCCAAGTAAATGACCGAGAAATCCGAGATTGCAGCTCCATCTTTTATCAAAATGACCAGACAACGACATCTACAGCCGGCTGGCCCAACACCACCACTCCCAGCGCCCGTCAAACCGAAGGCATGTATCGGATGTCGAACTCGAAAGGTAAAATGCGACAAGAGATCGCCATGTAAAAACTGCGATTTGTGGTCAATGGAATGTGTGTATCCGTGCCCAAAGCGGACGTGTCCTCGACCGAAGAAGAGAGCGGAGTCTCCGAAACAAGGACGTGGGAGACATGATACCAGTTTGTCTACGCCATCGTTGATTCCGTTCGGCTGCCACTCTGTCGAAGTAGCTCCGTTGCATCCCTGCTCGACTCAAGTGCAGGTCTGTTGGCGAAGGTACATCGAGTACGTCGATCCCCTGGTCAAGGTTCTGCATACGCCTTTGGCAAATACAGCAGTGGAAAAAGCAGCTTCCAACTGTACGTCCCTTGTCCAAAGCGAGGAAGCCTTGCTATTCGCTGTATACTTTGCATCGGTATTGAGTATGTCTGCGGAAAACATCAGCGCCCTCCTCAGAATGGACAAAGTCGCCGCAGTGAAAACCTATCGCGCCGCAACAGAACACGCGCTAATGCGAGCCAACTTTCTCGTGACGAATGATCTAGCCGTCCTTCAAGCGTTTGTTCTCTTTCTCTCGCTGAGCAGCTTCACCGACGAGGCGAAGCTAGTCTGGCCGCTCACGGGCATCGCGCAGCGCCTTCTAACCACGGACTCAACTGGCAGCGATTGCCCCGTGTCCGAGGAAATTCGTCACCGTCTTTATTGGCAGCTATGGTACATGGACAAACGGGCCGTCGAGGACCAGGGCAAAAGCGCCTTGGACACGACGCAGAATACTGTTTCCCTTCCGTGCAACATCACCGACATAGAATTAGATTTAGGGCATACATCACCAACCACGCAAAATACAAAATGGACAGAAGCGAGCTTCCTTCTCATCCGACTTGATATTGCGAGAACGCGCTCCTCACTCGCCACTGCGCAGTCCCTCTACGAGAAAGAACAGCTCATCCAGCGCTGCCATGACCGTATAAAGTCACGATATCTGGCTTCCTGCGACGGCAAGCAGCCCATCCATTGGTTGGCGAAACATGTCTCCAGTGTTCTTGTCGCTGAGATGTGGTTTGAGGTTCATAGCGCGGCGTGTTCCTCTACGCTTGGTGCCATGATTTCCTCTCGGAGCACGCGAGCCAAACTCTTCTCCACGGCGGTCAGTATCATCGATATCCCCCGACGGGTTCATGAAGATCCCCAGGCGAAAGCGTGGAGCTGGTTGCTCAAGGGATACCTTCAGTTCCAGCCTCTGTTGTTCGTGGCGGCTGAACTTTCGTCGCGGTCAATGGGGGATTCGCTCAGTGTGCGAGCTTGGGAAGTAGCACATACTGCGTTTGGGAGATGGCCGGAAGACACGAGGAGAACCAGACAGGGGAAATTGCTGGATAGTTTGTTGAGCAAGTCGCAGGAAAGGTGGAGGGGAATGCGGCAAGAGGCTGCGCTTGCTACGGCTTCCTTGTTGACTGTTCCTCTAGCAGATGAGCCTGCTCGGGAAAGTGACAAGTCAAGTCCATCTTGTCAATAATAATCGATTCATTCAGGGTGGAATAAGCAAGGATGAATGTGGACCCGTCCGACCAATCAGCATCACTCTTTCAAAACATTCATCATCCATCCACCCTCTCTCACCTCCATTCCTACGACCCTACCTATCTATCCATCAACATCAACAACTCACAATGCTCCTCTCTCCCCGTTTCCACCTCTTTGAGATAGGCGACCAACCTTGGTGCCCCGACTGGGTCATCGCCTACATCCAGTCCTACCTCACCAGCGTCTGGAACCTACACATTCCCCCCTTCAGCCGGACCTCCCCGGCAGGCACAGCGGCCGAGCTCGTCACCGAAAACCTACCCGATGCATCATCTTACACTTTTGTAGATTGCTGCGCCGGGGCAGGAGGGCCCACATCGACCATGGAGCGCGTCTTGAACTCTCGGCTCCAGGAACAGGGGAAGCGGCCTGCGCGGTTTGTTCTAACAGATCTGCACCCGAGGATCGATGCCTGGGCCGCCATTGCCAAGAAGCAGGAGCATGTGTCGTTTATTCCGGAGGCCAGGGATGCGACGTGTTGCGGGCGGGTTGCGGCCGAGGGGAAGGAGTGTCGAGTGTTTAACTTGTGTTTTCATCATTTCGACGATGCGATCGCAAGGGGTGTGTTGAGGAATGCGGTTGAGTCGGCGGATTCGTTTATGTGGGTTCTCTTTCAAGGTGGAGGGATCTTGGTGATGCTGACTTGGCAGTATTTTCGAGTTCGCACAGCGCAACTTCTCCTCGCTGCTGAATATCCCGGTTATGGTGCTGTATCCTTTTTTGCGTACGCTGCAGCGGTACAGGTATTCGCCTTTGCATCTGTTCTTCACGTATGTGGTGCCGCTGTTCTCGGTGGTCTGTTCGTTTGATGGGTTCGTGTCTACGTTGCGGTGTAGGACCCCGGAGGAGTTGAGTAATCTCCTTCGGCAGCCGAATCTGGATGTTTCGGGATGGGAGTTTACGTCGGGCAATCGCATGATGATGTGGCCTTTTCTGCATATTTACTGGTTTATGGGTGTGAGGAAGTAGTGATTATCATTGTAAGTCATGTCGCCAGGCGGACAGCTCTGGCATCCTTTGCTCTACCTCTTGCAGAACATCAAATCCCAAAACAGCTCGTTGTCGCGAAGACACCAGTCCAATCCAGTCTGTGTCTCGGGTCAGGCCTGACCACCTCAAAACCAAGTCGCGCAGTCGTTGTAAGATTCCATCGGCGAGGTGAAATGCGCCTCGGTTGCGGATGGCGCCTTGGACGTTCCGGGCAGTCCGGGACTTTCGAATGTCTTCGTAGAGTTTCAATGCTTGTGGGATTTTTGACTTGTAGTCTTGGGAGGATGCTATGTGGTATAGTAACATTCCCAGCATTGCGCCATCTTCCACGGCCATGGCGGCCCCTTGCGCCAGATATGGCAGAGTCGGATGACACGCATCTCCAAGCAGTGTAACAGAGCCCTGGAAGATATTAGAATGTCGCCGATTATGTGCCGGTGAAACAGACCTTAGTCCACAACGGCAACTCAGGAAGATGACAAAGCTTCCACTTCAGGACAGTCGGTATACAGGAGATCATCTTCCCCAGCCTAATCCAATTCAGTACTTGACGCTAGAGCCAGAGGAAAGAGAGACGAACGTCGGATCCCACTCTCTGTACCCATACCGCATTTCATCCACATCCCCCTGCGTCGTACGCACTCCCAGCGGCAGATCATCGGGCTGGAGCAGCACGAGATTATACTCTTGTCCGCCGCGAACGGGGTAGAAGACGGCATGTTTATTAGGACCCAGCCAGGCAGTCACGCCTTGTTTCTCGCAGAGTGTCTTTACCTCTGGATCATTCAGGGCTAAGAGCTTCGCTCTCGAAAAGGTAGCGCGGTAGGCTAGGTCCCCTGTTTCTTCTGGCGTATGGGGTTCATCGAGGACGACTTCGCGAACCTTGGACCAGAGGCCTGTCTTATGAGCTTGGGACGTGGAGTCGAGGATGGAGAGAAACGAACCATCAGCACCAATGATCACGTCGCCAGTTATGGTCTCGTTACCCACAATGACCGCAGTCTCCTCAACGAGGATCTTCTCCACAAGCGCGCCTAGACGAATCTCCACTCCGAGGTCTCTAGCCTTGTCGAGAAGAATCTGGTGGTAGTCCGCCCGATGGATGACGCTACACCCGTTAGCAAGGCACTAGGATAACAGGGATACATACATCCATGGCGCTCCATACTCCTTCACCAGAGACTCCCCACAGGGCATCGAGGTGATGATCCTCCCATCCTTGTACCGTCGCAGGTCCGTGAACTCGACTTTCATGCCCTTTTCTTCGATCTGAGGCAAGAGACCGAGTTCCTGCATGATCCGGGCTCCATTTGGAGGGATTTGGATCCCAGCGCCAATCTATCGAGTCACCCTCTGCCTAGCAGTAGTATTGTAGATTGGGATGCTGATCCTTACCGGCAGGATTTCGGCTGATTGTTCCAGGATAAGCACGTTGAGGTTCTTCCGGCGACAAGCAATGGCACAAGCCAGTCCACCGATTCCCGCGCCGACTATGATGACTTTCATTGACTTACTTTTATGTACTTCTTACCCCCTCTTGCTATGCTGAGATGAACTCTGGACATTGTGGATGCGGGTGAGAAGATGCAGAGAACAAAGAACAAAGAACGACGAGCGGTGAACAACGTGCGGGGGCATTGCATATAACTACTTTGAACCTTTGATATCTTGACTTCGCAAACCTCAACTTCAACAATTGAGATCAATCAATATCAGTGCAGAACTCATGCAGGGTATATGTTCATTGAAAACATGCTTATCTCTCACATATTGATCCGAGACAAATATATATTGGCCATAACACTTGTGGACATGTCCATTGTGCTATTCGGCTGTTATTGACCAAGTGGAGACGACAAATATAGCCGCAGTATCAGATAGATTACTGTCCAGATGACCCTGAGTCCCTGACCCAGTTACCAGTCTGATGGATCCAAGCCTGTAAAAGCCGCCGTTCAACCATGGATGTGCGCTCCATTGTCTCAGATGGCGTGTCTTAGTCTTGGGACTCTTGGCCTGCCCCTGAGAATTTCCGCTAGACTAATCCTTCCGAGCGCTCTGAAACAGGCCGATCGCGAACTGGGAAGAGTCGCCCTATCCCAGCGCGTTTCCCTTCAATAAAGCGCTTCTGGAGGGTCCATTGTAATAAGGGGAAATTTCTGCATATAAAGACGGCCGCCCGTTCTATATCAGTGGATCATATATCCGTTGACAGTTGCACCAGGCGGCAAGAGCTATACAGAATGAAGACAGCGATTCTTTCTCTTTTCCTGGCTCTCCAGGCCTATGCTCAGGTTACGGGCTCTCCCTCTGGCTTCGCTGCCGGTACTACAGGGGGTGGTTCGGCGACCCCGGCAGCCCCTTCCAGTCTGGACGAGTATGCCTCCTTCTGACACTGGATCGATCATAGCTAACTGTTATAGACTAGTGCAATGGATCACCGACGACACGCCCCGTGTCATCCTCATCGACCGGACCTGGGACTTCACCGGCACCGAGGGCACCACCTCGGGCAACTGCTGTAGCATGCCATCCACGACTGTCTGCAACGGCGGCACCTCCAATGGCCAGGCCTGGATTCAGGATCACTGTGACGGGGGAAGCTGGGTGTCGTGCACGTACGACAATGCCGCGCTGACGCCCATGGACGTGGGCTCGAACAAGAGTATCGTGGGTGTCGGCAGCCAGGGTGTCATCAAGGGCAAGGGACTGCGTGTGTGCAATGGGAACAAGAACGTGATTATCCAGAATATTCACATCACCGTATGTATCCCTGACCCCATCCACGAACGAAGCTGATCAAGCAGAATCTCAACCCCCAATACATCTGGGGCGGCGATGCCATCACCCTCAACAACGCGGACATGGTCTGGATCGACCACAACAAGGTATGTCTTAGGACCCCTTGTAAAGAATCACTGCTGACAAGGAACCTGGAAGATCTCCCTGATCGGCCGCCAATTCATCGTCAGCGGCTGGGGCAAAGCCGGCCACGTCACCATCTCCAACAACGAATTTGACGGCCGCACCTCCTGGTCCGCCAGCTGCAACGGCAAGCACTACTGGACGCTTCTTCTGCTCGGCGAGCAGGACTACTACACCTTTGAAGGCAACTGGCTGCACGATGTCTCCGGCCGCGCCCCGCACATGGGAACCGACTACACCAAGTCGCAGATCTTCTTCCACGGGGTGAACAACTACTTCCAGAATGTGGGCGGGCATGCCTTTGACGTCGGCGTCAACACCTGGGTGCTGCTCGAGGGCAACTACTTTGAGAACGTCAACACGCCGCTGACCGACACCAGCCTGAATTCGGGCGGCAAGCTGTACACCACCGCCACGGTGGATGCGGCCGGCGCCTGTTTCGATCAGCTCGGATATATCTGCGAGTGGAATCGCTTGGCTGGGTGTGGTGCGTGGCAGGACCGTACGGATGCGGATGTCAAGAGCAAGGCGGCTACGTACAAGAGCAGCTTGGTGGGCCATTGTGCTGTGGCGGATGTGCCTGCTAAGGTTGTTGCCAGCGCTGGTGTTGGCAAGGTGTAATTCTATTCTTGTGTATATTTTATTCTTTCGTGTATACTAGAGAGGTATGTATAGACTTTAGCGCTGGCTGATTCATCATCGGCGGGGGGTCTTACATCAGAATGACAACTCGGTGATAACCACCTTAAATATGTGGCTATTATCAATAAACAACCGGTCCATCAATTCAACCAGTCGAATATTGACATAGCAAAATGAAGTCTATCCTGGTCACCGGCGCAACAGGCAAACAGGGTGGCGCCGTCATCAACGCCCTCCTAGCCGAAGACGCCGACATCGAGATCCTGGCAGTCACCCGCAATCCACAATCCAGCTCCGCCAAAAAACTAGGCGACAAATCCCCCAAGATCAAACTCGTACAGGGCGACCTCGACGACCCAGCGGGAATCTTCAAAAATGCCCACCAAGTATCGTCCGAGCCAGTCTGGGGCGTCTTCAGCGTGCAGGTACTCACCGAGTCATCCCAACTCTCTGAGAGAATATCAGCTTACACCAGCAGATACCCATGGGCCAAGGCCAAACCGTCGAAAAGGAAGAACGCCAAGGCAAGGCACTAATCGACGAGGCCCTAGCCCAACAGGTCCAGCACTTCGTGTACTCCTCCGTCGACCGCGGCGGGGACGCATCCACCGACAACGCGACCAACATCCCGCACTTCATCAGCAAGCACCGCATCGAGCAGCATCTGTTCGAGCGGACGCGGGACGCAAACATGTCCTGGACGGTGCTGAGGCCGGTGTTCTTCTTCGACAACATCGCCCCGGACTTTATGGGGCGGTTTGTCCTGACGGCGTGGGACACGTACCTGCAGGGGAAGCCGCTGCAGTGTATCGCCGTCAGCGACATCGGGTATTTTGCTGCGCAGGCGTTTCTCAACCCGGCTGAGTACCGGAATCGGTGCCTGTCGTTGGCGGGGGATGTGCTTACGTATGAGCATATGCAGGAGACGATGCGGCGGAGGACGGGGCGGGAGGCGCCGACGACGTTCCGGGTGGTTTGCTACGTTGTGATGTGGATGGTTAGGGAGATGAGGGTCATGTTTGAGTGGCTCTATGCGCATGGCTACCGGGCTGATATTGCAAAGTTGAGGGAGATGCATCCGGGTTTGAAGGATTTCGTAAAGTGGTTGGAGGAAGATAGTCAGTTTGTTAAGCGTAGTTCCTAGTTACCTAGTTACTCTATAGTCTGTTAACTGTTAACCGTTAGTTGGTTGTGCGTCTTGAATGCCATACTCGCTGTTCCCAACATCCCTCACCATTAGGCTGACGCCTTAAAAGACGTACTAACTACAGGGTGTTGCTCTATTTATGTACACTTGGCTTCCCTCGAATCCAGCCCCGTACCTCGCCTTGATAAATTAAAGACAATCGTGCATACCATCGAATCCATCATTTTATTACAATAACGAAACCATGAAAACAGCGGACTGTCTCCCATACAACCCCAACATTCCACTCCCTTCGGCTACCGTCCCTCCCTCGTAGCCAGAATCGTCTTCATGATCCTCTTCGCGGGAGTGACAGTCGGCCATGTATGGCAATCCTTTCGGCATCAAACATCTGGCTCGGGGTCGCATTCTCCCTAGGTGCCATTGGCGAGTTTACCGGATGGCTGGCCCGTACAGTGGCATATCGCTGCCCGTACTCTGTCAAGGTGGAATTGAGGGCTGAGCAGGGGGCGAAGAAGTGATTGTCTTTTTACTTTACATATCTCAACGGGGGTGCTCTCGATCATGAGATAATAACGTTCTTCTTCTGGTTTACATGATAGGAATCTTTTGTATTGAGGAAAACGAGTCTTATTGTCAACTGCACAGTTTGAGTGTAATGTCTTCTCTTTGACCAGGCTCGAGTCTATGGCTATTGTCAGCAACTCGCTGGTAGACCTGATCTGACACTCCCTCGATATAAACAATGCCTAAGAATAAGCAGCTGCATCTGGTATTGTGGGGTATGTCTGGGCTATTTGCTGCTAGGGATGTGTCTCATTTCGGAGATCTCTGCTTTCGCCGGAATTGCAGATATTTCCCATCGACATTATCGAGACATCCAGTTGGACTGTGGGTGTCAAATACCACATCCAATAGCCTTCCTACAAGTCAATTCCCGAATAGGAATAACACGACGCTAAGTGACGATTCGAATGCCGGTCCGGTGTCTATGCCAAAGCATTAAGTAATCATTACTCAGCTCGTTACATCGTTAGGGCATTACTATTTACTACTGTAAAGGGCCCAGTATAACTCCAGACATCCCCCCCGAAAACTGCACTGCCAGTCTCTCCCACAGTCGACGACATCCCTCCGAGCATGCGACGTCCACCCACGCGAATGTTTCTAAAATCCCGACCAAATGTGGATACGACGTGACATTCAACCCCCGACAGAGGGTTCCAACATGTTCAGCTAGCCGAGGGTGTTCTGGCATCCCTTCCGCCGCGATGGCCGCCACGGTAGCGCACCAGAGAAGCAACGGACTGCACAGGACCTGCGTCATTTGGTCGAGTTTGCTGGCGAGCAGCGGGAGGATCATGGCTCGGATCAGGGCCGAGCGCGGGAGGGGAAAGGTAACGTGCGTGGCGTACAGGTTCGCTGCCAGTCGGCAGGTCAGGTACAGCCCATGGGAGACGGAGAAGTCATCTGGTGATACGTGGCACATATCGAGAACGGATTCGACGGGGTCATGCTCGTCGGGCAGGCTGAAGATGGCGTGGTGGACTTGGTTGCGGACGTCGGCGAAACGGTCGCAGTCCGACGGATCGAGGTGGCGATTGTAGTACCATTGGACCAGGGTGGAGTATTCGCTGAGGTGCAGGAAGACGTCCACGATGGGCCCTTGCACCGGTGGGCAGGAGGAGAGCAATTCCCTGAACCCGAGTTTCCCCATCGTGGCTGGGTCGTCCGGGAGGGGAAAGGCACTCAGAGGAGACGGCAGGTTGATCTCGTTGCCTTCCACATCGACCCGAGGGAAAAGTGGTTTGGTCAGAGCGTGGGCCGCCTTCATTAGATCCGCGCTGGATGAGATTAGCAGATTTCCGCAGTCTATTGGAGTTGCTGGGTGTAGACGGCACCTACATTGTGATCAACCAGCCCAGAGCGAACAGCTTGATCGACTGGATCCCACCCAGCTGGCGCAACAGATGACAAATGACATTCCAATGCATGGAGTGATAGTCCCGACTGCCATAGAACGACAGCGACTGCATGTCCACAAACGGGGGCGTGAACGGGCTTGGATCGCGGCTGAGGTCTCGTCTTGTGGTCTCGTTGACGGCCAGATGCAAGATGGCCAGGATGACTCCGTCTCGCCATTCTTCGTTGGTATAGTCAACCACATGCTCGCGCAGCAGCCGCAGAAGCCGGCCCTTGTAGTACAGCTGATCCCGAGTGTCCAGCACCGGATTAAAGCCGTAGCTGATGCGCAGGACGTCTCGATGGCACGAGGCGGCCCACAGGGTGGTATAGATCAAGATATTGCTTTCCCAGTTTGGGGCCAGCCGCGATTGGTAGCATCTCCCGGCGTAATCGGCGCGGCGGAAGTTGGGCCAGAGATTCATGAACGCTAGTCATGTTAGTCTATCTCAGGATCGTGCAGAAGTAGACCAACCATGGTGAAGGATATCGTCTACGCTTGGCCCAACATTGGCATCCACCGGAGAAAAGGGGTCTACCCTGCCAGAGACAAGCCTCAGAGACAGGCCCGAGGTGCTGCCTTGCGTCTGGTTGGACACACACACCCCTCCACATGTCGCGCAGATGCGGAAGAGAGTCCCATCGCTATTTGAGTTTCGGGTCTGAGTTTGACTTTGAGGTACTATTACGCTAGTTCTGGTCCCTGTAGTCTGAGGCTCGGAGGATCCCTGGGCCAGGTCCTGGTCCCTGACCGTTCCAGGGCACGTACAGCCTTGAGCCTCTAAGTGCCTGTCCCGCGTCGGACGTTGAGCAATCAATTGCTCTCTCTTGGCCTCCTCCTCCTGCCGGTATGTACTGCGTTTCTCTGAGATCCGGTGGCGGATCAGAGCTGACCGTGTGCTGCGGGATTTAGCGTCACCTCCTCGGCCCAGCGAGGGGCCGTCCACAAAGAGGATCTGCTGCGGTTTGCCGCCTCGTGGGGTCATGGCGAGCAATCCACGCAAGACCACGGTCAATCTCTGACTAAGAAGGGGTCCTCTGTCGATCGGATCCTTCTGACCATCAGAGCAGCAAGCTGACGTGGGACTGGGAGTATTTTCCTGCACGTGGTTACGTGACTAGCGTTGTTGGTCTCGATGGCAATTGGGTGCATGGATTTGATGGCTTATGGAGTAGCTAGAAGTAGTCCAATGAGGAGAGTGAAACACACTTCCAAATCAGGACTGGTATATCCATAGTACAGGGCCTGATGTCGACAGTATCCCACATACCATACTCCGTAGACTAGAACTAGACTCAGATGAATCAAGTCATAATTTGTGAGGAAAAGCAAAACTCCATTCATGCAACAGTTGCCAATCAATCATAATCACAGATCCCCAGACAAAGCCCCCAATCTAGCCATCATCGTGCGAGGCGGCCCCTCTTCACCCTTTTCATCAAACAACAGCACCAGCATCTGCATCATAATCGAACTCCTAAGACCCTGCACCTCCTTCCGCGATGAGGACGAAGACGTCCCACTGGAACAACTCGTCGGCGAGCCCCCCTCCCCCGTCTCCTGCTGCACCATATCCGCCATCAACCGTAGCACATCCTGCCACCGTCGGCGCAACGTCTCCAGCTCTTTCGTTAACCGCTTATTGTCCACCTCAAGCTTGAGGTTCGCATTCTTCGTCTCGGCGAGCAGCCGACTCAGCGCGTCGTTTTCCGCCCGCAGCTCCTCCATCTTCTTCCGTAGTTGGATGCGCTCCTGTCCCCGCCGCTCGCGGAATCGGCGCTGCGCTTCGCGGTTCTGCGATTGTCGGCGGTTGGGCTGGCTCGTTAGCTTCTCATATCACCCTGTGGATGGTAGAGGGGAGGTACATTAGAGGTAGCATTCACGTCAGGATAGCCGCCCAGCTCGCCCGGCGAATCCTGGTTCGAGCCGAGGTAGTCCGTTGCCTGTGACGAGAGCAGAAACAGCTCCTGCGGCGGGGTCATATGAACTGCTGGAAAGCGCAGTTCGCTGCTCATGCTTGGCGACAGGGCGCCGTTGGAGTCGCTGTCCATGACTTCATCCCATTGTAGGGATCGGGGGCGCAGATCGTAGGGCATGTCGTGCTGCGGACGGAGGGTGATGGGATTTGTGTACATGTTCATTTCCTCTTGTAGAAGTCGCGGATGTCAATTCAATTGCCTCGAGGAAGAGGACGAAGTCATATATAAACTCGTGGCAATGGCACCACTGCGCGGTCATGACATAGGGTGAATCAAGTGAATAGGCCATACTATTTTAATTGCCTCCAGACCATGCAGTCTGCGGGCGCTTCAGAGATAAGTCGAGAGAGTCCTAGCTCGAGCCGAATCGGGAAAATGGTCTCTGGAAGTTCCTCACGACGGCCAGAACCCAGGGCCCTACCCTTGAGCTTGAACATCCACAGCCATTCACATCGCTTCAGACACTGACAGACACTACCGTCTTGGCAGAGCATCTATACCCGACCTGGCAGTGTCTATTGTCTATGTAATTGGTGCGATGGGCGCCCAGCGATCTAGCCTGTTGGGACTAGGAGTAGGGGATGTTTGTTCCTCTGCCCGTTTTTGTCCGTGTTTCACCGGCCTCGCTTTCCAGCCCCATGCTCTGACAGATTATTCTGGGAGATGCATTTCTAGCCTGCATTGGCTGTTTCGTTATCTGATCTATCATTTCCATCAATCAACTCCCCTGTTGCCGACATCAGATGCGAACCTTCACCCTCGTGGGCCCAGGCACATGGAAGGACCTGCCATGTGCTGTTCTAATTATAGCCCAATGCGCCCATTGTCATGCTTACCTATTCTATAGATACTGTATACCCAGACTCTAACCTCTCGTTAGAGACAGATGCCATCCTCAACAATGCTATTTACTTGTCAGCATGGTTAAACAGAATCAATTAGTCTATAAAGCTAGTATAGTGGCTCTAAACCGATATGTCTAGATAGGTTCATCTCTTGGTTCAATCAGGACCTCATTCACCGCCACATGCGCCGGCTGTCGCAGCGCATACACAATCGACTTGGCCACATCCTCCGGGTCCAGAATCTTCGCCCCCGACGGCTCGCCGTACTTTTTGATCGCCTCCGCGTCCGTCGACATCCCAAGCAGATCGGTGGCCGTGTTCCCTGGCTGGATGGCTGTCACGCGCAGCCCCATTCCCGCCGTCTCCAGCCGTAGCGACTGCAGCGTCGCCTCCACGAAGAACTTGCTGGCCGAGTATACGCCCAGGCCGGGGAAGACTTTGCGTCCGGCGTCGGACGAGATGGCGACGATGTGGCCGCTGCCGCGGGTCAGCATGCCGGGCACCGTGGATGAGAGGCAGTGCAGGAGACCCTTGCAGTTCACGTCCACCGTGCGCTCCCATTCATCCGTCTTGACGTTAGCCATCATCGTGTAATACATGACACCGGCGCAGGAGACCAGGATATCGACCGGACCCAGCTGCTCGCTGGCGGCCTGCACCAGTGCTTCCACCTGCGCACGGTCGGTGACGTCGGTGCGCTGGATGAGGATCTTGCTGCCTTGGCCGGACAGCCGCCGCTGGAGAGACTCGAGCGCGTCCATGCGGCGAGCCGCCAGTGCAACATGGCACCCTTCGCGCACGAGGGCGGTTGCCACGGCGGCACCGATACCGGATGACGCGCCGGTGATGACGGCCACACGGCCGTTCAAAGGCCCACGAATAGCGGCAATAGGCTTGCTCGACCGGGCAGGCGCCTTGGGAAGCCATCCACGAGCGAACCAGTGGCGAGTGTAGGTCTCCAACAGAGCGCGATCCACCTTGGGCCGTTCTACCACAGCTCGGAACGGCCTGGTGGCCGCGTTGTCGAGCACGACGATTCCCCTCAGGAATTCCACCGTGGGCATACCACTTCGCAGAATGTCAACCGTAAAGGCGCCGTCGCCTCCCTTGACCGATCCTTGTTTCTCGGTCCAAAGCGCCACCCACTCGTCCCATCCCAGTCGCTTGGTCGGGTATCCCAACTCCGACAGGGCGTCAAACACCTGTCTTGTGTCTACCGGATCCGGGTCACCCAGGTGGAAAATTGTCTGATCGGCCCGCGTCTGCGTGGCCAGGTGGACAATCGCCTTGCTGACAAAGTCCACCGGAGTCATTTCGGCCCTCCAGCCGTCGACGTCGGGCGCGTAGCCGAGCTTGATCGATTCGACGATCAATGCCGACAACAGATCCCAGGCATTGGCTGCTCCCGTGATGCTATGACCGCTGATCGTGCCCGCACGGTGAATCTTAACGGGCAGTCCGCGGCGACCGGCCTCCAGGACCAGCTGCTCGGCCACCCACTTGGTCTGTCCGTATCCGTCCAGCAGCTTGGTCGGGACGTCTTCAACGGGTAGCATGGCGTCCTCAGGCCATCCCTTTTCGCCAGACGGCGGCAAAACTCCGTTGGTGGAAACATACTGTACTGTTGCGCCGCCCTTGCTGGCCAGACGCAGAATCTCTCTGGTTCCTCCCACATTGGGACCACGTAGAGCTGCGTAGGGGTACACCAGGTTGACGGTAGCAGCGGCATGGATGATGACAGCCACTCGAGCGGCGAGCTCATCAAACGCCTCAGGAGACAGACCAAAGCGCGACCGGGACAGGTTACCAGGTAGGATCTCGACGCGTTCCATGATCGAGTCGCGCCAAAGACCCAGATCGAGCAGATTACGACGGATACGAGCCACACCACCAGGCTGATCATCGTTGGCGGGTTCGTTAAAACGAACCAAGCAGATTATGTGCGCGGATGTGCTTTCAAGCAAATCGTGGAGGAGGAAAGCACCCAGGAATCCAGTCACACCAGTCAACAGCACCGTTTGTGCATCCGTCACGGATCGGATCTTCACATCAGGAGAAGGTCGGATGTCCTCATCCAACGTTGCGTCTGCACGCAGCACAGCCGGCAGATCGGCCTGCACGGCAGCGGTGTGACCGTCTCGGATGGCACGCACGGTTTCCAGGTGACCAGCCAGCGTAGAGTTCTCGGCCAAACGCGTAATGGGAACGCGGAAACCGAACTCTCGCGAGAATTTCGACGCGAGTTCGGCCAGGGAAAGTGAGTGACCGCCKAGGTCGAAGAAATTGTCGGTTGGCTTCAGCAACGCCTTGGGAGTTCGCAGTGTCGTAGCCCAGATGGCTGCTACTTGGTCAATACCAATGGGATCCTTCTCCTTGGCCCCATTGCCATTCACTGGGGTGGGAGAGGGCGGAGGGGGCAGTCGTTTCAGGTCAACCTTGCCAGACACCTCGTGGGTCGGCAGTTCGTCCATTTCCACCCACAGGGCGGGGATCATGTAATGAGCCAGGTACGGCGCCAAAGTTTGCCTTGCCTCCGGGCTGTGACCGGACGGGTTGATCTCGACGACCGGACGATCGGTGCTGTCCTGGTCTCGGACAATGTACGCCACCAGCTGGCGATCCAATCCTTCGCCGTGCGCGATCACGGCACAATGGCTGACTGCCAAGTGATTGACGATCTCGTTTTCAACCTTACCAGGAACCACCGAATAGCCACGGAGCTTGATCATCGCACCCACGCGACCGGTGATTTCCAGCAGCCCGGAAGGCAGAATGCGAGCGCGGTCGCCGGTGCGGTACATGCTCGCACCGGGTGTGGAGTCGAACGGATCGGCGGTGAAGGCTTTGGCGGTAGTATCGGGGAGATTGAGGTATCCCCGGGCAAGAAGGGGCCCTCCTACAAAGAGTTCTCCGCTCTCGCCGTCGGGAACCGTCTTGCCATCTTCACCCAGAATATAGGTGTGCTTCGGATCCAGAGGGGGTCCCACCGGACAATATGGGGTGTTGTCGTCGAGCATTTCCCGAATATCGCCGCAGGCAATCTCATGTGTTTCACATGCGCTGTAGCAATTCAGCAGCCGGGTGGATGGGAGGGCCTTGATGGCCCGTTTAGCGAGGTCAGTCGTGACCACCTCGCCGTTCAACCACAGCGTGCGTAGATTTGGCAACCGAGCACCGAGATGGGGGTGACGCGCGAGCACGGTGGCCAGCAACGTTGGCGTCATGAGAGTCTCGGTGATGCGATTGGCTGCCAGGAGATCAACCAGCGCTGCGGGATCGTAGCTCACGTCGTCCGGAACCGCCACGACAGTGGCACCACGCAACAATGGGCGCAGAATCTCCCAGATGAAGAACACATTGCAGGCCACCCGATCGCCAGGCTGCAGATCCTGCACGCCGAATCGGAGATTATACGAAAGCACAGGCGCTCGATGTGGATTGGCAATTCCCTTGGGTTTGCCCGTAGTGCCCGAGGAATACGAGACAAAGGCCAGTCGATCCAGATCATCCTCAGCTGGCAGAGAAGTCGACGGTTCCTTGGTGTGTCCATTGGCATCTGTTGTGGGCTCGTCGAGAGCGATCAGTGGCACATCGGCTTTGACTTTTTTTGCCTCGGCACGGTGAGTCACCACAACCACTGGCTTCGCGTCTTCAAGGACGTCTGCCAGGAGATCAGGAGGGTAAGCCAGCTCGAGAACAAGGAATGCACCTCCTGCACGGAGAGCGGCCAGGCAGGCGATCACATAATGGGCGCTCCGAGGGAGAAGCACGCCAACCAGACTATCTCGTCCGACTCCATAGCTTCGCAGGCGCTGAGCCAGAGCATCCACTTCCTTGTCTAGTTCGGCATAGGTGTATGTGGTGGAGTCATCTTCTAGTGCGGGGGCATCGGGAGTCGCATAAACCTGCTTGGTGAACAGGGCCGAGAGGTCTTTTGTGGTATCGAGAATAGACATTGAGTGTATCAGCTTTTAATTGAGTCCGAGACCGTTGTCCTGACACTTTGAGGATCTCGAATTCGAGGAGTTGGCGGGTATTTGTGGGACGGAGGGAGAGGCGGTAATGTGGAGAAGAAACGAGAAGGAGTGAATTGACACCGCGGTGTCGGCGGCAGAGAGTAAAAAGCAAAGAGAAATCTGGAAGTTGTTAGTGGACAATGTGAGATGATGATCCGATGAGGTGTGGAGGGACGTGGGATAGAAGAAACTTACCAGTCCGGTTGGGGATGGGAACGAAGAATGAGGCAAAGAGAACAAATTTCTTTTGTTGAGGAAGAAGCAAGCACGCAAGTTACTAGCAGGCCATGAATCCGGGAAGCCGGCCTCAGGAAGCTACTATGGGAGAGAACCAATTAGAGCCGGATCGAAGTGGAATGCCTGAGAATAGACCCAATCAGCGGGGAAGCTGGAGACATCTGCCACATCTTATCTAAGGTAGTGCTTATCCCGTTCTATCATGATATCATATCATAGGTACCGAGTACAGAGGAGAAGAGACAGAAACGGCAACTGCTCGTGCGACCGTCGGAGATCGGGATGATTGGAGTCAGGAATCTGCCTGGTCATGACTCATATGAGCATGGATACCCCTGGAGGCGCATCAACAACGACCCGATAAGGATTTCTGTTGACAGATTATTCAGGCATCACATGCAAGGACTACCAGTCAGGTGATCTACCCCACTACTACCCGGATATCATTGGCCCATTCCGCCAGGTCAGAGTGGGGTAGAAAGACCAAAGCCTCAGGCACAACAGCAAATGGCCAACGCTGCCAGAGCTCAGAGGAGCATACTATGATACTGTCGAGGTCTGCTTGGACTCAGTGTGAAATACTAGGTTCTATTTTTGTGGATATAGCTCAGTCTCTTCTTACTGCCAGAAATGGAAACTAGATGAGAATTCTATCCAGGCATCATGGTCATGGTTGTCGGAATTATATACCTTCCTAGTAGAGCCGTATCTTGAGTCGCAGCTAGCAGTATACCACTCTTCTCCACCGGGAAATACAGAATACTACTAGTCTCGGGCACTAGATTGCCTGGAGCAACCTAAGATTGCGCTCCAGCACAGATAAGTACCAAGCGAAAGTACAAGTACAGGTACGAGCGATCGATGGACTTTGGATGAGAACGGCTGAGATTACCAATGTGCAGTCTCAATTGAAAAGAAGTAGTAGTTAGGAATAAAAATAGTCAGAATGAGGATAACCTTGACCGGGGGCTAACACGCCGAACACTTGTAGCCTCTTTGTATGCTGGTCCTTGGCTTCCTACTCGTCGGGGCTTTCCAATGGCTCAAGCGGACATTCCCCATAGGGCCCACCATACACAATATAGTTCGCCTCCATTCCTTTACTCAGGTGTGTAGTAAAGTGGCAAATCAACTGCCACCATCCAGGGTTGAATGCAGTCATCAATACTGTTCTCATTTGTCCAGGGTTCAGGGTGACGGTGGCAGATGTGGTGTTCGAGACGGGATCGAAGATGTTATCGCCATGCATATGGAAGACATGGGTGTCAAAGCCCATGTCGTAAAGGTACCAGATTACATTGTCGTTCAGGCACATTTCGAAGGGCGGGCTGTTGGCGTAGATATAGCCGTTCAGCTGCGGATAAGGCATGTATCAGTCATTGAATTCGCAGGACATGTCCGAAGAACGGGAAGGAATGACTTACAGGGAAGAAATTTGGCGCCATTTCAGGCGTCACGTTAGTCTTTGGAGTATTGATAAACTGCGGATACCAAATGCTGAAATTCCCACGGCCATCGGTCACATTTGGATACTGGAATGACAAGTTCGCGACCTGCGACGCCATGCCAGGCAGGTACCTGCGGACGTTGTGCAGTGCAAGGAATGAATTCCACTCCTGGTTGTCCGTGTAGAGAAGGACAAATTCACGATTCTGCCGCATCACCGTCTCCATTTGTCCCCGATTGTAAACGATCACAGGCCCATAGGAACCAGCATCCTGGTCTTGATACATGCTGACGTACGGATGGTAGGTCCATATTCGGCTCTGGAGGCCGTGGTTCGGAGCGGAGTTGTCTGGAACGAGCCTATAGGGATATTGTTAGGCATCAGATCTTCATCCGTGTCAGGTATCTCCAAGAAACTGGGGCAAAGGCACCATTTATAGACGAAGCATCCTCCCGGTGGAACTGCGTCCCCTACCTCAACGCTACTCGTCCCATTGTAGTATACGCTACCTTCGGACGATTTGGTATAGTACAGCCCCATCGAATGCATGCTCGAGAAGAATTCTTGCATCTTGTTGACGAACAGGACCTGTTAAATCTTAGTATACTCCGAGAAAATGTCTTTGATTTGTGAATAACAACCTCGATCATATCACCGACTTCGGCGCGGATTATCGGTCCCTGAAACCCAAGCCAGTCAGGCTGGTCAGATTCCGTCTCGAACGTCTCATCGGTATATCCCCTATATAGCGCCTTGTCGTATCTAGTTCCGATGCTCGTGTTCGAGGCGATGTATCCATAGGTCTGCGCACGGAAGGACTCGTTGAAGGGTACACCGAGCCAGTTGTCCCAGCCTACACGTTCATATTCTCGGTTAGTGTCTATGGAAGGATGTGCATCAGACCCTATACCTGTTGGAGCATAATCCCAAGTCACAACTTCAGCTGCGACATAGTATCGACGAACAGTACCGGAGAAGTGAAAATTCGGAGGAACATAGAACGGTAATTGCCCATTCAAGCGGGCCAAACACTCCTCCGAGACTAAGGGCTGACGAGCATTTGCCGTGGATGGCGCTGCAAGGGTGCCAGCAGCCACCGCGAGCAGGGAGAATGAGAAGAGTATAGAATGCATCGGTAATGGTATTTTAAGGAAATCCTTAAGATGAAAAATCTGTCAACGAAGTGACAGCTACCATACACCACGACGAATGCAGGATATAATATGTCGGCTGTCAGTCACCATGATAGATGCTGGATGTAGCAAGATAAAAACTGTCTGTTTTTCTGAGGAACGGAGGACATTGATATCCGGAAAGACGCGTCAGGAAGGGGCCGTGGAGCAACCGAGAAGTAAAAGGCAACCACGGCGAGTGCTATTACTCTGGAGTCTGGAAGCAATAGAGGATCTGCCATGATTTCAGAAGGTCAACTGCATTGGAAAGAGCTTGCCTGACAAATTAGTCGATTCCTTAATACTCTACTCCTTGTACTCATAGCATACGCGCCAGACTCATCTTAAGATATTCACAGTGATACAACAGCCCGACAGACTAAGGAAAGGCCATAGTTAGTTGGTTACTGAGGTAGCTCTGCAAAGTGCAAAGATAGCAGTAATAATAAAAAAACGATCTAAATAGTAGTCTGACACTAGCCACCCAAATTCAGCATGTTGACTCCATAAACAATTAGACTACTCCGTACTCACTCCCTCCTCTGTACTTTCTTATGGTGTCCCTCTTGTCTATTGCCATATTATCCCTATCACCAGCATGGCCACATATCGGTACTGCATAACCATGACTCACAATGAGAAACGAACAACTAACACCATTTTACAGGGAAGCCTGGAGTCTTTTTCAAGATAAACCTAACTTTCCCTCCAGGAGCAACGGGATGAGGCCAATGACTTCGGACCGGAACAGAACTACTACAACATTGTCGAAAGCAGAATTGATCTCGGAACTTCGGCCTCTTCGACAAGACTTGTAAGAGCTGCAGTCTGCCAGGTAAGACATTCTCTTGCGATCATCACAATGGCACTGATTCCATTTTCTCAAGCAGTAATCCAAATCAAACCCCGCAAATAAGCGACCGACCTGAGCCTTCTACATTCGGCACTCAACCAGACAATTCTCTCCAGTATCGAGATCCTGGGTGTGAGAAGCTGGGAACATTACGCTGCTGGGAATCCTGTTGCAACGGCCGATTATTTTTAAATCGAAGTAACTTAATACGACATCAGCGAGAGCGAAGGGGCGAATCGGCGAAGCTGCGGTGTTCCTTTTGCGATGCGGTTTTCTTGCACAGCTCCGCCCAGATTGCGCATGAGGCTGCCAGACGATGTCGACGATGAAGGGAGCGTGTGAAGAGCGGGCAAAAGCACTATCGTTGGCTTATTTAGCTCAGTGGCTGAGTATAGAAAGAAAGTCATCAAGATCGTTTTTGTCAATGTGAGCCCGATATATGGGTCCTCGACGCCCTGGTAGCGGTCTTTGATTCGGCCTCGGCGGTGGCATCCATGAGCATTGACCAGGAAGTCGCGTACTTCAAAGTTGAAACCATTCGATCCAGCAAATAGTGCTCCTTGCAGGCCGTAGATCACATTTTGTGAGATATCATGGCATGTAGTAATCTATAAGCGCATCGACGCCGGGGAAGACAAGAAGATCGACCGTTACGCTGGTCGCAGTTTTATACTATAGCATATCGTCAGCTCGGATCTGATTAAGTGATGCACGAATAGCTGCTCTCAATCAATTCTCTGATTTCCTGTCGGAGGATCGAGGGATCGAGAGCGCCCGCTTTTATTGATGCTTCGGCGGGGGATCACCGAGGTGGCTTTCCGGGGGTGTAGATAGAGAGGTATTTGAGGAAGAAACACCCTGATCGTCCTCCTCTATTTTGTGTCATCTGAAAAATGGTATCCCTAAAGACTGTACAAGCATCCAACGCTGGAATCCGAGCCCTCCCCAACATTATCGCCCTCTTTGTTGGCGGCACCAGTGGCATTGGCCAGAGCACCTTGCGCTAGTTGGCTCGTCACGCCGACAGCCTACGGCCTATATCATCGGTCGCAACAAGGCTCGCGCCGGTCTATTTCTATCCGAACTGCGGTAACCGAGTCCCAAGGGTCGCTTCCACTTTATTGAGGCGGACGTATCGCTAGTGTGCAATGTCGATGCCGCGTGCCGGCAGATCCTCCAGCAGGAAAAGCAGCTGAACTTTCTTTTTATGACACCCGAGGGTATATCTCTGGGAGGGCGCAATGGTATGTCCCAATTGTTTTGGGGGAGCCTTCAGCTGATAAATGATCTAGAAACTGTTGAAGGTATAGACTATCTTTTTGCTCTCCGCTACCATTCCCGCATGCGCTTTATCCAGAATCTCCTCCCTCTTCTTGAATCATCCGGACCAACCTGTGTCGTCAGTGTCTACGGCGGTGGCTTCGAGTCCTCCATCAACACGTCCGACCTGGACCTTAAACACAACTTCTCCTTGCTCAACGCCTACAAGCACTCCATTACCATGACCTCTCTGAGCATGGAACACCTCGCCAGCACCTACCCTGCTGTTAGTTTCATTCACGTCTACCCGGGTCTTGTCGGCACCAACATCTACACCAACAGCTTCCCTGCACCGGTTTCAACGTTCTACAACTACGTAATGTGGCCATTCATGTGGCCCTTTTCCGTGAAGCTCATCGAGAGCGGCGAGCGACATCTATTCCATCTAAGCTCGGCTCACTACCCGGCTAAATAGGGCATGGCGTCCCAAGGAGTTCCGCTTGAAGCTGGGGATGTGGCTAAAGGCACCAATGGGGAAATTGGGAGTGGTGCTTATCTGCTGAACTGGAAGGGCGAGGTTAGACCGAGTACAGAAGTTCTGGCGCAGTATCGGGAACATGGGATACCAGAACTGGTTTGGGGTCATACAGAGACTCTTTTGGATGAGGCGGCGCGTCGATGAAATCGCCTGAAGCAATTCTTGATTTCTGTTTCTTTCGCATGATTGCTGGAAAATGTATTAGTATTCATCAGCGAAGATTTACATTCTACACACAGCAAGCATGCATGGATTTAGACCAGGTCTCACTCTACCTGTATGAGAGTGGAATGAGTATATAGTGTGTGTGTATACACTACACGAGTGCCTGCAGCGTCGCAGGTGGGTTGATTGCTAAGCCACCTCAAGCAATGCTCTAAAATTCCGAGATTAGCACATATAGGCGATGTGATGACATGAGAGAACTGGAGAGACAGACTGGAAGACATATTCGGGAGTGAGCTTCGTTCTGGCTAGGGATTGGAGTTATGGAAACAATACAAACGATCTTAGAAAAGCTGATCGAGATCTTTCGAAAATGGCGATATATGACAACTCATGTGACGAGGTCTGGTCAACATTTGCTGACCCCGCTTGTGATTCTCAGCTTCCCCTTCTCACCTGCCGGATACTAAATTCAAAGAAGCCGCAAATTTCATCCTGCTTATAACACTCAATGGCTGCATTACTCGAATCGCCTACCGGCATAAGTAATGATGCCAATGAGCACTTGGAGCGAGGGAAATCGGACGACAAAGGGGAAAATGAAAACGACAGAAAGGAAACAGCCGATAAGACGCAGGAAAGGAACAAGAGGTGGGAAATGGCTTTCGCAGCCCGGATGAGGGAGATTGTGCCTGGCCTCTTCCTTGGTAACGTCGAGGCCTCGTACAAGCGAGATATGCTGCAAGAGAATCATATCAACGCCATAGTCTCCCTTACCGATGCTCGCTGGGTGTGGTGGAATAGCATTACTAGAGAAGCCGGGATTCCAGAATATCGTCACAAATGGGTCCAATGCGCCGATTCGTCAACCCAGGACCTTCTGGCACATATGAGCGATATCTGTGACTTTATCGACCAGATCGCTTCTCCAGTATTACAGTCATCATCTACTTTACCGGTTGAAAATGAGCACGAACCGAGTGAGAAGCCGCGCGAGGCACATTCAGACGCCGTCTTGGTTCACTGTGATTTGGGAATATCACGTTCCCCAACTATCATCATTGCATATCTCATGCGCAAGTACGGCCTTAAGCGAGAGGATGTTCTTCCATTTGTTCAAGCCAAACAAAAAGTCAAGCCAAGTGCCAATTTCACCCGGCAACTGGAAGTTTGGGAGCAGACAGGATATGAAGTGTGGGAGGACGAGGAGAGAACAGTCGCGAAAGAGCCGTACCGAGCATTTCTGGAAGACCGAGCAGCGCTTCTGAGAAGAAAGGGGCATACAGGCAATGAGCCTCTCGCGCCCCTGAATCTTTAGCTGAGCATATGATGTGAAACCAGTACGCTCGTGCAGGACTTACCATCGTGGGTTCCAACGGGTCCAGTGGATGGCAAGCATCGACAAGGTTGCGAAGCAAGAAGAGTCTGCTGTAAGACATGACACCCCATGCTGGAAGGCAGAACGTAATACTAACGGCTTGCAAAGGACTCGAAATTCAAGAAACTTAAAATCAAGTAAGTCAACTGGTTGGAATTATGTTAACTTACTCACGCTTCCTTGTCAAGGGGTGCCAAGGCACATATATCCTGTTGTGTCCCTGCTGTGTTGACCCTACTGCTATCATCCCTACTAGCTAGAGATGGTTGTCCGGACGCCTTTTTGGCTAAGTGGTTAGATGTATGATATCCCATAAAGACCCCAGTGATCCGCAGGATGTGATTTCTTTATTTTTGGATGAAAATGAAAACCGTATCAAGAGCAAGCATGTGCATGAAGATGGAACTAGCAAATAAACAATACCAGAGTCATGTGGATAGTATGTGAGGAATTATTCTTAATGTACTTAGTTTAGAAGAGGTGAGGAGTTATATAAAGTAGGGCTTCAATCATGTTATTAACTCGACCTTCTTTTGGCGCCTAACCTCTGCCGTATCCTCCATGCATCCAAAAGCGCCTTGGCGATGGATGACAAGTAACATAAGAGCATCCATACATTTATGGAGCCTGCTCTGAAAATCTGCTCTGAGGCGCCATGTTTGTAGCCCAGGCCTAAGCACAACCACGTGACTGTACGCGACTTCTAAGTCGGTACAAAACACCCGGTACACATTCCCATTGAGAACTACATACAAATATCAACTGAACCTTTGAATCCCTTCAAAGCGTGGAGTTGTTTTTGCTAGTCCATTTATATCTTTACAATAGCTTCATAATCCGTTATTGCATGGTGCCTTCACTATGAACCCCTTCGTTCGGCTCGGTCGATTCATTCGACGACCATCATCTCCACCAAGAATATTCAAGTACTCCAACTTTCCCACACTGGACTCTGCCACGAAAATCGAGGAACAACGAATGCCTGCGTATGATCGGGGTCTTTATTATCCAGTCAAGCTTGGGGATGTGTTTCACTCTAGATACCAGGTTCTCAGCAAGTTGGGGTTTGGTGCAAATTCAACGGTGGGGTTTTGCCGTGACCTTCAGTATTGACCATACTCCCTGAAGATTTGTAACTAGGCTAACCTTTGATAGACAACATCGGTACATTGCACTGAAGATTTACATCAGCAGTTCCAAGGCGAATCAGGAGGTGCGGGTACTGGAGCATCTTTCAAGAATAAAGACAGACCATCCCGGCAGCAGTCTTGTCCGTAAAATGATAGAGAAGTTTGAACTCACAGGACCTAGCGGTATTCATCAGTGTATTGTGTATGAGCCGCTGTTAACGAGTCTTTTGCATTTCCAAGCAACCTTGGATCCCACGAGCCTTCCTGAGGACTTACTAAAGGGAGCACTACAGCAACTGTTACTTGCCCTTGATTTTCTACACTCAGAAGCGCATGTAATACACGCTGGTTTGTGACCCTTTGAAGACCTGCTGTTTGTTAACAACTAATGTCCTGTCTAGATATACAGGCGAAGAATATTATCATTAGCGCAAAGGACGATTCAATTTTTCATGAATGGGCTGATAATGAGAATATCGACCCAAGCCCGCGAAAGGTCGATGGCGACTACACTGTCTATTTGTCCCGCCCATTCCGTCGTAAGAAGGGATGGAGCGGTTTTGGGATGCCACTTCTCTCGGATTTTGGGGAAGCTCGGCTAGGGAATGTACACGATGGATTGATCCAGCCAGATATTTATCGTGCGCCTGAGGTCATACTTGGAATGAGCTGGACATCAAAAGTTGATATATGGAATGTTGGGGTGTTGGTAAGTGAAGTATCCTATATATCAGGATGAGGAATAATTAATAAGTGCAAGATCTGGGACCTCTTTGAGGACCACCATCTATTTGATGGCAGAGGGCCTGGCGGGAGTCATTCGGACGCACATCTTCTTGCCGAAATGATAGCGATGCTGGGCCCTCCACCATCGGATTTTCTTCGCAAGTCTCCTCACAGCCTGAAGTACTGGGACCCCTCAGGTAATATACGCACCATTGAAAGAATCCGGTAAGTCTCCAGCTAACTGTATGAATAGGACAATGGACAGCCGCGGTAGAAGTACCACATAACTCATTGGAGGACTCGGAAGAGTATCTCGAGGGCGAAAACAAGAAGATGTTTATGCAGTTCGTTAGAAAGATGCTGCGATGGGATCCAGAGGAGAGGCAGAGCGCCCGTGAACTTCTCATGGATCCTTGGTTAACAACTCCGTAGCTGACCGTACCTTTGCCAGTGATTTTGATATGTGCACTGCTTGATATCACCCTCGCTGGCGAGGCGGCCGCAGTAGGGGTTCTCCTTCTGTATGTAGAGTCATACAAACGGCACATTTCTGCTTGTTGGGTTTACAAGCTTCGAGAATACAGGCCTAGGCATCTATAGAGGCTCAATCTGCAAGAAAGCTAGCTGGAGACTAATCAAACCACGGGTCAAACGACCAACATTACCACAAGATTAGACATCTCAATAATCCGGACCCATATAGTAGGAGAGGGTTGATTCGCTACGATTACTATTGACGCTTGAGCCATAATCTCTGTAGGATGTCTCATGTTAAGGGTTTTTGAAGAAGTTTGCAGCAGACGTAAGTTCATTATAGACGATCGGATTGGATCTCGCAAGCTTCCCAAGGTGAGACGAAATGCAGACTCGGGTTTCTAGACACCCTGGGATCTTAGTGGTTAAGGGGAATCTTCGAGAGCTGGCTATTAAGGCACTGACCTTCTACCTTTCTGTATATAGGACATTGCAGGTGTGGACATTGGTCGAGCAGCACAGCCCTACTGCTTAGACGATGCACTCCGTAGGCCGGACAACCGTCGCTTGCAAACACTTAAAGAAGTAAAGCTTGTCAATGTAATCGCCAATCTGGGCTTGTAAAGGTTGGGCTAATCAGGCGATCTCGTATTGCCCCGCTCCATGGCACCGAATATAAGACGCCAAATTCAGCCTAAAGGAACTCACACCTTAACAATCAAGCTTCCCTACTGTTATTGCCGGATGCCTTTCGAGTTGGAGATGTCTCAGTTCGACTGGAAGGTGCATGCATTTGAGAATGAACCCCTGCGATATATCCTGATGCGCAGGCCGGTGGATGAAACAGAAACCAAGGGTCCATGAGGTGGTCACATAGTGAAGGCATTCTTTTACTACCACCGTGCACAGATCCCAAGTCCGAGGCGACGGTTGTAGCGAGTGTGCTAGGAATGCTCTGGCCGCTGCGGTCCTTGGATGAAGAGAGACGAAATACAAACCCTTTGAAGATGATCAAGAAAAGCATATTTGGGTCACCCAGGGGAGGAGGTTAGTGAGACAAGGGCGATATAATATGCAGATAGTTGATATATTGAGAGTGCTGCATCTATCTAAAAAGTGTAGAGGGCATCAGGGTAATCGAGAATTGTCGGCAGTTGGATGCGCAAGTCTATCGTTGAACGCTCAAACTCTCGTCTCTCAACGGCTTCTTGCCATTGCGCCACATCAAACCTCCATCCCGACAGATACTCTGACCGAGAAATGTTTATCCTAGCTAGACGGGGATACTGCTCGCGAGCAGTCTCACGAGTGAGAAGGCGGACAACCTCGATTAACGACGCATCAGGGTCCCAGATAGCAAGCTCCTTGATCGTAGAGGGAAACACCTGGTATACGAATTGTTCCATACTCGCGTGGCGGTTATGATGCGCCCAGACTTTGTGCAGAGCCTGCAGAGCGCTGCCGCCGACTTCGAGGATTTCCAAGCGCGCAAAGTCCCGCAGCGTCGAAACGCCTTCTTCAACGTTATCATCGTCGGGGAACTCAATGTTAGTCTCGAAGATGATCTCGCGGACAGAGCTCTGGACACGTTGCAGGGCCCGCCATCCGTCCAGAGGCGACCACTCTTCGGAATCTTCGTCGTATCCGTCCGAATCGACCCAATGCAGGCGGAACTTTTGGAGATTGGGGCACGCCTCCAAAACACAGTTGAGAAAATACGGCGGCGGCGCGCCCTCACCAAGATCGAGGTCCGTCAGCTTCTCCAAGGTAGGTACTTCTGCTTCGCCGGGGTAGAACGTCTCTATGGAGGGAAGTCGGAGATGCTCCAGGTTCGGCGACGCATGCAACAGCCCGCTGATTTTCCCGTACTTAATAGCATAGTGGTCGCCGCTGACATAGAAAAGCCAAACATCTAGCTTCTTCAACCTTGCAAAGACAACGTCCTTCGGAAGCGAGGCGATCACGCTCACCGTCCATTCAGGATTCATGGGCACCCTGAGAACCTTGATGTTCGGACACGACGCGACCACAAGTTCTGCTACAAGCAGTCTTCTTTCCAGGAGATAATCGTGCCACTCAGCCGGCAATGGGGGCAGACCAAGCTTGGCGATGGAGCTCTCCACCAGCTGTCGATCTTCGTCGTCGAGGTTCTCAGCATAGCCCGGCTCGTGGAAATCCAGACTAGTCACGCACTTTGCGAGATCAGGGCGGGCATCCAGTGTGCGGAGGAAAGACAGAAGCCGCGTCATGGACTCGGAAGAATGGTAGTAGTGGTCGAACAGAAGCGGTTGGCAGACATCACGCAGCCGCCGACATGTGCGACTGAGTCTGGAGAGGTGCTTCTGGCTCAGGCTGTTGGGATATGTTCCACAGCAAATGGCGCATAAATAGCTGCTGATCTCAGTCAGGAGCTCAACAGGAAGTGTATCTAGAGAAGGGCCTGCCATGATGATCGAAGTTTTGCGTTTGCCTGGGAGTGTGATTTGGGTCAAATGCGACCTATGTAGTCTCGTTAAGCGTCTACTGGCGATTATGGTAGGCTTGTAGGCTACAACCTGGTGGCTGAGTTCTGATAACCGTTATTGGAGGCTAGAATTCCCGCCGGGAGAGCTATACTGGAACAAGCAGACTAAAAGCGGCTCCTTCGTATTCATTTATGCTCATCCAAGGCTCATGATATTGAATATGATTCGCATATTTAGCCGATGAGCCATAGCCTAGTTGCTCCTCGATCTTGCAGCAATTGTGGATCAACTAAAAGCATTTGCATAAGAGTATGTTTCTCGATAAATGCTCGCGTTAAGGTCATAAAGCACGATGTCTACAGAATATAGATCCATAGCGATTAGGAACGACTTGTAGACTATATATAGGAAGGATATAAGATGAACGGCAGTCTAATTGTACTCTATCAATGTTGCAAATGATTATGTGGTCTAAAGTAAAGCAATCCCAGTAAAAGCACGGCTCTCATCCGAATATAACTGCACCTTCTGCTTCCCATCCGCGTCCGTCCGGTAAACGCTGCCCCCAAGATCGGTCAAGTAGATATGACCACGTTCCAGATCCAGCTTCAGACCGATTGCCTCGTTCAGATTCCGTGTGAGAACCTCGTAACCCAGACGACCAGTCCGTTCGACTTCCGAACCGGTCTCCTTCAGCGAGACCCTGTTCAACGAGTTTCCAAAAGGAAGCTCGCCGCGATCCGTCCAGTACAATCTGCCAGACTCCTCGTCTACCTCCAAATCAATGGGTTCCGGCAGATCCTCCAAGAGACAATGGATATCATCTCGTGTCGTGGCAGTCTCACCTTGGGGCATGTCAATATTAGCACAGAAGATCCTGCCCCTGCCGCTCTTCGAAGGTCCCTTTTGCGTCCAGTAAAACTTGCCGAAACGAGGGGAAACAGCGATGCCCACACACCACTTTGTGGCGTCTTGCATGTCTCCGGGTTGTTGGTAATCGCCAGTTTGGATGATGATCTCGAGATCACTTCCGTCGTAGTTGCATCGGAATACGCGCAGTCCTTCCCGGTCAGAGAAGTAGACCTTTTGAGCGGACTGATCCAGTGGTAGTTGTTTCGGGGTGTTGGTTGTCCCCGGCGCAACAAGGGTCTTGATATCTGAGCCGTCAACGTTGGCAGAGTAGACGGCCCCGTCGTCCTTGCCTGGTACACCCATGTTGGTCCAGAACATGCGTTTAGCGGCGGAATCAATAGACAAGCCGTCTGGCAGGGCTTGGTCCTTGACTAGTACTCGTTGAAGCTTTCCATCGGCCGAGAATTCGACGATCTGACCCACGTTGAAACCGGGGGCGGAGGCCGACAGACCTACATCGAGGGCGATGATTTTGGTTTGGGCAGTGGTATTTGCCGAGGGTGATGCTGCAGGGTACAGTCCACCGTTTGCACACTTGTTGCCGAGCTTACCCTTGTCGAGATAGTTCTCCTTCAGAAAGTCGACGGTCCTCTCGGGTGAGAGACCGCGCTCTGCAACGTAATGGCTTTCGATAAACGCGACGGTATCAAGGCCGACAGCTATTGTTCGTCAGACAGAGCTGCTAGAAGCAAAGGGAATACGTACCGTCCATCGTCTTGCAAGGCAAGACTCCTCCCTTGACAAACATCTCCTGCCACATCGAGTCAATCTCCTCCGGTACCGAGACACCCTCCGCCAGGATCGTCAGGACCTCCCGCTTGACAGCCGCCCACAGACGGTTGAAGATAAACCCGGTCGATTCCTTCCGAGCAACATACGGAACCGTCGCAGCCTCCTTGGACCGCTCAACCATAAACGGAAAGATCTCAGCCGCGGTATACCCATCCGTCATGAGCTCGACAATCATACACTGCGGCGGCATGTAGTAGTGCATATTCAGAGTCCGGCGTTTTGTTGCCTCTGACACCTTCTCAAGCATCTCCGAAGACTTGTACGACGAGGAGTTTGACGCAAGAATACAGTCACCCGGCGCGAGAGCATCGAGTTCGGCAAACGTGTCGATCTTGAGCTGGATCTTCTCCGGCACGGCCTCGATGACCAGCCAGGCATTGTCCACTGCTTCCTTGAGGTCCTCGGTTGTGTCCACTGTGCCCGGCTTCTGGCCTGTGCTCTCGGCATACGAGTCCACGTTATCTCTGACGTAGGCTAGGCAGTCTGCGCGCTGCTGAGGACTCGGATCGCGGACTTGGACATTGTAGCCTGCTGAGGCCCAGATGCACGCTGTACAAGTTAGCTTTATCTTGGACACTTAATGCGAGAAGGCATACCAAGTCTACGGCCGAGCACGCCTGCACCGAGAATGGCGACAGGGCGTTGGCGATAGTTCTTTGGTGGCTGCCACGTTGGATGCATTGTAAGCCGTGTATATGCTCAGAACGTAAGTATGGATGTTTGGGTTGTGAGAATGTGATGGAATGATAATATGACTTGATTGTTGAACTATCTAAGATGAAGCTATCTGCCAGGCTAAAGAAGATGGTGTGTGAGGCACTAAGCTTAATTTAGAAGTATAGGTAAGAGAGTAATATTCACACCCCCCTTACTCTAAGCTAGAGTTAATATATATGCTTGTCTGATTTCCTGATTAGGCAGGTGAGATAGACTTAGGAAGGTTAATTATTCTAAGTTACTTAATAAATTAGGTAAATCTATATTTTATAAAAGGCTTAGTAAGGCTATTAGTAGCCTACTTAGTAATAGATATATATAGATATTCTAGCTTGCTAGCTATCACCTCTTAATAAAGGAAGTGATATCTAATATTAATATACTTAGTCTAAGTATAGTACTCTATATTATAGCTTAATAACTAAGCCCCCTAATTATTAGTATAAATATATATAGGGAGATGATAATGGACCCTATTAAGGACTAAGAGTTTAGATAATAGTAATATAAGCTAGATTACTTCCTAAGCTATAAGGGCTATAGTAATATATTCTAATTCTATAGATAAGAGAGTAATACTAGTCTAGTACTTTAAGTACTATAAGATAGGTAAATTATCTAATAGAAAGATATATCTAGATATAGAAACTAATTTAATAGTATAAGGACTAGCCTAATTAGTATTAATAAAGCTATTAAGATTATTAAGTATAGTAGGATAGAATAGTATAAGTAATAGTATCTCTATTAGATAGTAAAATATATACTTTACTATAATAAAGTAATTAGGGCTAGGATTCCTAGTAAAGTATATAAGCTTAGATATAGCCTAGGTAATATCTAGATAGGTCCTTAGTATAAGCTAGGTAAGTAAACTAATTATCTCCTAATATAGAAGAATATCTTTCTATAAAGCTATTTAATTATAGTTAGAGAGAACTTCCTTCTTATTATAAGGAGTTATAGTATAATAGTAATTAGTTATTCTAAATTATTTTAGAATCTTCTAAATATAGTTAGATTAATAAAGAAAGATACCATCCTTTTACCTAATTATATTAATTCCTAGATAGACTAAAACCTCTCTATTATCTATATACTTAAAGGACTTACCTAGTTTAGATAGAAAGTTATTAATAAGTTCCTTAGAATATAAGAGAATAAGAATATTATTAATATAGATAAGTAAAGTAATATTATTTTAGATAAATACTAAATAATCTATATATATATATTTAAAGCTAATAAATAGGAGGAAGTTATATATTAATTAATACTATTTATAAAGAGATTACTTAAGGCTATAAAGTATTTTTATAAGTAAGGTATATTTATTTACTTACTTTATTCTATTAGAAAGATATATATAGATAGATTTTTTAAGTAGTATATAAAGAAAGGTTATAATTATATTAATATACTATAGTAGCTAGCTATCTCTAGTAGTAAAGGTAGTAAATATCTTAAAGCTTATAGACTTTATAATAATTATATAAATTTTATTAAAATTAATTCCCTTATATTAGCAGAAGCCTTAGATAACTAGATAAGACTTAAGGGTCTTATTCTATTTAATTTTAAATATCTATTTTAGAGGTAGAAGCCTTATCCTCTTTTACTAGTTAATTACTTAAAAAATACTATTATAGATTAACTCTACTACTTCCCTATAGATAGACTAATACTATTTAGATCTATATTTATAGGTGATAGCCTTAGTATATAAAAGGGGAAGGAAATTATCTCTCTATAGATTATATAAGATATCTAGATTAGCTATAGTAGATTTAATTATATAGATATATAATTATTCCTCTACTTTATTAACTATATCTAGAATATAATTAATAATAGCCTAGAGAACTTATATATCTACTATTTAAACTAGCTAAGGTAGGAAAGACTTATTAAAGTATATAGATAGGCCCTCTATAGCTTCTAGTATATAATATAAAGGTTTCTATATATATATAGAATAATATAAAGGAAGATCCTTAGAGATCTAAGAGCCACCTGCCTCTGGTGCTATAGAAGATCCTAGAGAAGGAATCTATAGGCTCTTATTAGCTAGAGTAGGCTATTCTAGATTATAATTAGCTAATTATTTAATAATAGGATGTTCAGAGGTATTAGGAAGCTATAGAAGGCTATAATTATTATAAGAGGGAGATAGGAGATTAGGAAGAATACCTATAGATTTATATTAGATTAGCTAATTAGGTATCTTAGATATAGTAGAATTAGAATTAGAATTAGATAGCACTGGGGCTAGAATGATTAGAATTAGAGGCTATATAGGAGCTAAGAATCTACTATTTCTTATCTTAAGGAATTTAATTAGAATATAATACTATTCTAGTAGCTAATTTATCTTATTATTAGCCTGCTTATAGTATTAATTAATTTAATTAAGATTATAGGCCACTTCTAGCTTACTAGATGAAGGTAGTTCTTTAGTAAAGATAATATTATAAGATTAGATAATCTTCTTAGTAGATATATTATAGACCTTATAGTATCCCTCTATATAGCTAATAAATTAGCCCTTAGATATATATAGATCTAGCTTCTTATACTACTCCTTAGGTATTAATACCTAGCACTTATAGCCTAGGGCATGCTAATAGGAGATATCTAGCTAGATACTATAGAGAGCTTTATAGAGGGTTATACCTATCTTAGAATAGAAGAGGTAATTAGATAGGTAATTAACTATAAGAATAAGATGCTCCTAGAGATATTTAGGGAGTTAATTCTCTACTATAATAGATATAATAGGCTTAATTAAGTGTTAATTCTTTATCTTAGGAATACTATTTAATTAAGGAGTATAGAAAGGTATAGGGTCCTAGATAATACCCCTATCTAAGATATATAAATAGATTAGTTTATATTCTGTAGTATTATCACCCTGAATCTATTTAACTTTATAGGAGAACTATATCTCTAGATAGTTAATTACCTAGATAAGTCTATCTAGAACTTCTATCTATAATTTAAGTAGGAAGACCTAGTAGAACTATATAATATTATCTATAATAGTTAAGAAGTATATTTCTCTGCTATATACCTAGATACTAAGAGGTCTATAGATATTAATATATAAGAATTTATCAGGGCTAGAATAGATTATTTTATCCCTGCTATATAGAAGCTAATAACCTTTACTAATAATATATAGGCTATAGGGAAGTTATAACCCCCCTTTCTTAAGGTATAAGCTAGTAATATAGTCTAGAAGTATATATAGATAATATTTAGATAAGTAAGTAGTATGCTAGTAAGTAAGATTAATAGATATAGGCTTAGGATCTTTAATAGTTATTATATTAATAAAGGCTTTAAATCTAGGGTGTAAAATATATTTAATATCTTCTAAGCTAGATAGCCTACTAGTCTGCTATAGCTATTTAATTATCTTAATAGATTTATAGCTAGTAGTACAGAGGAAGTAATAGTTCTAAATTATCTTAGTAAAAGCCTTAATTAAGCTATTATAAATTAATTTAATACTACTATTATTCTAAAAGACTATATTAATGCCCAGTTCTGCTAGCTTTTAGATAGAAACTAGATTCTAAGTAAGAGCTAGTGTATGCTAGACTTTAGGGAATATAATTAATCTAATATATTTATTACTATTTAGAAGAGTAAGATTAATAATAATAGTACTATAGCCTTTAGTCTAGAAGACCTAGCTAGTAGCTATATAGACTAGGAGAATAAGATTATAATAGTTAATAAATAAAGAATAGTATAGAGTTATTATATTACTAGCCCTAGAATCTAATATCTAGTTATAGGGATAGTCCTGGTTAACCATGCTAACCTCTTTATATTATATCTGTTAGCAGGAAAGCCTAATATTATTATACTATAAGGAATTACTATTAAATATAATCTAATTAGCCTCCTTATTATAATCTTTATTTATTTAATTAGTAGAATAGGAAGTAGTAATATTAGTAGTAAATTTACTATATCTATAGCTATGCCCTCTCTGGCTTCCTCTCTATAAGGAGTTAGTAGTAGAAGGATTAGAACTAGTATTCTTTAAGTAATATATAGAAGGGAGATAACTGCTAAACTTACTATAATAATAATATTAGATAATGCTAGTATCTTTATTATTTAGATCTTTAGCTATAGGGCTGTTAGATGGATATTAATTAGATTAATTTAAATTAGAATTAGAATTAGAATAAGAGGTACTAGATTAATTCTAATTATCTCTATATCTATTATATTAGCTATTCCTCCCCCCTTAAACTAAATTAGCTAATAGTTAATTAGAATTAGATTAGTTTCTGCTAACACCAGTAGCATAGTATTTAAATTTAAAGTATTAGAACTATAAGTAAATATTATATAGATTAATCTATTATCCTACTTTTAATAATTCTATATTTATAATAAAGTTATTAAGATAGGGAATGCCCTTAATAGACTATAAGAATAGATAGTATTTAATCTACTTAGGAAGGATATTAAAAGTATATATCTTAGTAATTATAGCTTATTATTTCTATAGAAATATATTATAATTACTACTTAGATTATATTTAATCTAATAGAACTTCTACTAGAGTAAGAAGAGACTATCCCTACTACTATATTTATAAAGGCTCTATAGCTTTTTAAAAGCTAGAACTATATTAATAAGGCTAGAGATATATATCTTTATAGTATTATTAATAGTAATATAGAGTATTATAAGCACTTAATAGTTAAGATAAGTAAATACTTTATTCTACTATTTATAATACTCTATAAGTTAATAATTCTAGATATTTTAATTATTAATTAAGTTATTAATATTACTCTCTATTTGTAGCGGGCAGGGCCCGCTGAGTGCTTGAGCCTACTAGGCACTCACAATCTACCTTAGGCACTAATAAACTCTTGTCTAGCAAGGACACCAGCAGTTACATAACCCTTATAGTAATTAATATAGTAATTAATCT